GTACTTTTTGAATGAAGTACAGCTTCCAAGAAGGAAGTGTAAACTTGTGTTTTGGCACACCTCCATTGAAAAATTTCAATGAGGAAACAACCTCCAGAACAGCCGGATCCCCAGTACAGAAACATACTGGAAATGCCTCACTGGCCCACTGAGCCCCTGCTCCAGCAGGCAGGGCTAGAAAACTTGGTTCTTCAGCAGTAACGCGGGAGGGCCTAAAGGGTTCCGTGGCATTTGAGCTAACGTTAGGCTATTTGAGTTGGGCTTAGAAGAGGTTTCCCAATCTAAGGCTACTGTGCCCTGTACACTTTGGGGCTTTATAAAAGTTGGGGTCCTGGGGAGGGTAGAAGGCAAGTCCTAGCTAAACCGTACCATCTACGCTCACTGTACTCATCTTTCTGAGACAGGATTTTGCCCCACCTACTGCCAATGGCTGTACACCAGGATATGCAGTGCTGTAGAGGAGCCATGCAACACATGGAAAGCTAGCTCTCACCGGAGGCTGGGAAGGCTGAGGGCAGCAACCACTGAGCACTAGTATTCAATCGAATCTCCCAAAAGTCATGTTGAAATCCTAACCCCCAGTGTCATGGTAGTAGGAGGTGATTAGGTCATAAGAGAAGAGCCCTCATGAGTGAAATTGGTACACTTATAAAAGTGACCCCAGAGAGCTCCCTGCCCCTTTTGCCAGGTGGGACATGGAGAGAGGTGGTCAGTCAGGAGCTTGCCAGCACCAAGATCTCAGTCTTGCAGACTCCAGAACTGAGAGCAATATAAGTGTAATATCTGTATTTATTGATCATCCGTTCTGTGGTAGTCTTTCACAGTACTTAGAAGTGGCCGAGACCACTAGGCAGGGGGAGAGCATCAACATAAAACCTCTTCAGCAAGATGAGCTCCAAACCCAAATCCTCCTGGAGATAAGTAACATTAAGACATCCCTACAACTTAAAAAACTAAATTCTCCCAAAACTAATGAACCAATAAAGAAATGGGCAAGTGAACTAAACAGAACTTTCTCAAAAGAAGAAATTCAAATGGCCAAAAAACACATGAAAAAATGCTCACCATCTCTAGCAATAAAGGAAATGCAAATTAAAACCACACTAAGATTCCACCTCACCCCTGTTAGAATAGCCATCATCAGCAACACCACCAACAACAGGTGTTGGCGAGGATGCGGGAGAAAAGGAACCCTCTTACACTGTTGGTGAGAATGTAAACTAGTACAACCACTCTGGAAAAAAATTTGGAGGCTACTTAAAAATCTAAACATTGATCTACCATATGATCCAGCAATACCACTCTTGGGGATATACCCAAAAGACTGTGACACAGGTTACTCCAGAGGCACCTGCACACCTATGTTTATTGCAGCACTATTCACAATAGCCAAGTTATGGAAACAACCAAGATGTCCCACCACTGACGAATGGATTAAGAAAATGTGGTATCTATACACAATGGAATTTTATGCAGCCACAAAGAAGAACGAAATGTTATCATTTGCTGGTAAATGGATGGAATTGGAGAACATCATTCTGAGTGAGGTTAGCCTGGCCCAAAAGACCAAAAATCGTATGTTCTCCCTCATATGCGGACGTTAGATCAAGGGCAAACACAACAATGGGATTGGACTTTGAGCACATGATAAAAGCGAGAGCACACAAGGGAGGGGTGAGGATAGGTAAGACACCTAAAAAACTAGCTAGCATTTGTTGCCCTTAACGCAGAGAAACTAAAGCAGATACCTTAAAAGCAACTGAGGCCAATAGGAGAAGGGGACCAGGAACTAGAGAAAAGGTGAGATCAAAAAGAATTAACCTAGAAAGTAACACCCACGCACAGGAAATCAATGTGAGTCAACTACCTGTATAGCTATCCTTATCTCAACCAGCAAAAACCCTTGTTCCTTCCTATTATTGCTTATACTCTCTCTACAACAAAATTAGAAATAAGGGCAAAATAGTTTCTACTGGGTATTGAGGGGGCGGAGTGGGTGGTAAGGGAGGGGGTGGGGGCAGGGGGAAGAAATGACCCAAGCCTTGTATGCACATATGAATAATAAAAGAAAAAAAAAAGACATCCCTACAGAGGGGACCCCTTGAAGAACTAACGAAATCAGTGTATATATATATATATGACGTAAGAGATGAATTAACATCCTTGAAAACAAAGAAGCTGCCCAGCAGAGACAGACGGCGGTAACATAAGAGCAGAGGGTATTGCAGAAACCGTTAAATCTAGGGAATGAAAAGACATGATCCTGATCTGGACATAGTGAAAGACAGAATCAGTGAGTCAGCAGCAACTTCACAAAACTGACCAGACTGCAGCACTGGAGACAAAGTGTAAAATACAAGCTCAGGGCCCTGTGTTCAGCGCCAGCTCTGCCTTTGAGCCCACAGTTGTGAGAGTAAGAATTGCCTTTTGCCCTAGCTACTTGCAGTCCAGTCTGATTTTCTTTCACTTGCCACAGGAAGAATCTTCCTCGGTTAAGGATCCATTAATGGTTCAGGGCATAGTGGTGTGCACCTGTAATCCTGGCACTCAGGAGGCTGAGTCAGAAAGATGGAGAGGTCCAGGCCAGCCCCGGCTACCTGGCAACATCCTGTCTCCAAAGATAAAAATAGATAAGTAAAATGAAACTTTTGACACTCTCATTTAAAAAAAAGATCTCATTAATGAGGTGGTGCATGCTTGTTTAGGTTAGACGTTAGGTGATCTGATCTGGCAGCCAGCTAGAGGTCACCACCAGAGGAGACCATTGTGAAACTGCAGGGGAAGAACATGCACTTGGTGAAGAATGTTGCATATGACAGGATTGGGTCTGCTCTGCTGCTTCGCTCCCAACCCACTCCCCAGGGCCTGTAGCCTGGGAAGCCCACTCCCACTGTCTTTTGGGCCTTTGAAGATGTCTCAGTACCTGACAGGGTCTTTGTCAAGTTTAGACACATAAGGTGAGTTTTACTCAGTTAGCCAGGGAGGTGGGGTCCTGTGCTGGGGGTGGGCCCTGTGTTGGCTCCAGTGATCCAGTGTTGTCTGCCTTGCCAGATTGAGAGGGGATGCAAGAAGCAGTCCTGGTTCAAATGCCACACACTCCCACCTTACTTACTGGATATTCACACAATTTTTTTTTTTTTTTTTTTGGTGGGACTGAGGTTTGAACTCAAAGCTTCATGTTTATAGAGCAGAAGCTCTGTGGCCTGAGCCACACCTGCAGTCCATTTTACTCTGATTATTTTGGAGATGGCGTCTCTCAAAACTGTTTGCCTGGGCTGGCCTTGAACCGAGATCCTCCTGATCTCAGCCACCCAAGTAGCTAGGATTGCAGTTGTGAGCCACTGTTGCCCAGCTCTCTTTTGTTTTGAGACAGGATCTCACTATGTAGCCCAGGGTGGCCTCGACCTCGCGATCCTTCTGCTGCCTCCTGAGTTCTGGGATTGTAGGTGTTTGCCGCTACTGGCTCATGCATATTCTTAAATATGCTTTCCCCATTTGCTGTTGCCCTGTGAGCCATTTCCAGGAGCTTTGAGCAGTTGTTTTTATCTTGGTCTCCAGTTTCCCTGGGCGGGGCAGGGGGAGGCAGGTCTTGGAGCACCTAGTGGTGCCAGGCTAGGAATGAATCACCCGTAGTCCTGGTTCCTACAGAAAAAAATGTTAGCTTCTTCTAAGAGAAATTTTGAGTAAATGAAAATGACCATTAGCTTACCACATACATGAAAATGCTTGCACATGTCCTTCAAGATCTCTGTAGATTATCCACCTCCCCACTCTCCCTACTTTGCTTCCCTTAAATAACATTCGAGAAGCAATAAATCCGATTCATTGTATTCTTTCCATTGCTGACTGTTGATCCCTCACAGATCCATGCTCCACTTTGCATTGTGGCCCACACAGGCCTTGTGGGCCAGACTGGTACAGTCACACTCCAGTGGGCAAGTAGTCAGAGCTGGTTTTGACTTGGGAAGGACTGATATGAATGCAGCTTAAACAACAACCTGATTTTTTTCCAGAGTTACCTAATTCATCCGCTGTTCTGACTACCAGTTAGCCTTTATTCCTCCTTTGTCCTTTAAAGAGAAAAACACTAAAACAGAGAGAAATGTTGGTAAATCATTTTACTTATTTTGGAGGCATGGTTTAAGTGGAAGGCCCTGAGCTCGATCCCCAGTGCTGTCAAGCAAACAAGCAGCAAGGCCCTCCAGCAGTGGGGCACTGACCAGAGGTTAGGACTTCACAACCCTTTAAAAAAGAGAGAAAGAAAACCAAGTGGAGAGTATGAACCTGTGTCTTTTGACTCAGTCATCAGTGGTGTCCATGTGCTCAGTCTGGCAGTGCAGCCCTGGAGTACAGCCAGCTTTCTGGAAGCCTCTCCCAAACGGTGAAGACAATCTTCTAGACCCTCGTCTCTGCATTTGTGAAAATCCATCTTGTAGAGTTGACTGAGCAAATTGTTCAGACTGAGAGACTGGGCCTGGGACATGGTCACCCTTTTCCCCAGGGGACTCTCCAAAGTCCTGTGTTCTTCCCAGGGGAGAGTCAGCATAGGAGAGAAGGACGTCAGGACAGGGTGGTAGCCTTCTACCCTTTTTTCCTTGCTCTCTCTAGTAATTCCAGGTCATGTGTCCGTGAGTCACTTGAGAATGTCTTTATCTGCTTTATCACCGGACCCGAGCTAAGGCATTGCTATGATCTTCTGTGGATGTCAAGGAGATGGGCTTGGATTCTCACATCCCCTGCTGTGCTTACTCCAGGGTCCACGGTAGAGGGAAAGCAAATGGTCTGGCAGGGTCTGATCCATAGGGCATTGTGGTATCAGGCCATTGATCAGTTGCTCTCCCTTTCTCTGGAGCACCAGAGAGACCCCTTTCCCATACGTCCTGGCACAGGGTGACAGCTTCCTGTGCACGTGGCCCATAGAGGCTGATGGAAGGCCTTCCTACAAGGAATTCCTTACCTGTCTTTTCATTTATTCCTCCCTTTGTTTTGCCACTTTCTAGGAGTTTGCAGCGCTCACAAAAGAACTCAATGTGTGCAGGGAGCAGCTTCTTGAGAGGGAAGAGGAAATTGCTGAGCTGAAAGCAGAAAGGAACAACACCCGAGTGAGTTGTGGGTCTGCTTCCCAACTGGTCTGCCATCAGTGTGGGGATCTGTACCACTGTCCTAGAATGAGACAACTTGTGTGTGCTTTTAAACATGTAATCTTGTCTCTCCCACTGAGCAGAGTGCCTGTCACCTCAGCTTTCGATGCAGCTTGAGATTGCTGTGGGTAGCGAGACTTTAGTACGCTGGGGGAGCTTCTGACTGCTTGCTGGCTTCCAGGGATTCACACTTGGTTTAGCATGCGATCACAAGGCACTCAGATGTGAAGTGGAATGTGCTCTTTATCACACCTTTCTTCTGGCCTCCTGTTTCAGTTGCTTTTGGAGCATTTGGAGTGCCTTGTCTCCAGGCATGAGCGCTCTCTCAGGATGACAGTGGTGAAGAGACAGGCACAGTCCCCTGCAGGCGTGTCCAGTGAGGTAGAAGTGCTCAAAGCGCTGAAGTCGTTATTTGAACACCACAAAGCCCTGGATGAAAAGGTACCATCAGCCATGTGCTAGTGGTTCTAGACCAGCCCAAGCGCTCCCGGAAGGCAGGCGTCATACGTGTGTGAATCCTTGTGAAGACATTTTCTCTGGGAGAAGACCGTGCTCAACTTGATTAACAAGTGCTAGCTAGCTTAAGTGTGTTAAAATGGATTAATTTTGTGTATTGATTTGCTGTTAAGAACTGGATAATCTTAGCCAGGCACAGTGGCTCACAACTGTAATTCTAGCTACTTGGAAGGTTGAGATCAGGAGGATTGTGGTTCAAGGTCAGCCTGGGGAAAAAGTTTATGAGATCCGGCTGTGGTGGCACACACCTGACATCCTAGCTGTGCAGGGAAGCCTGGCACAAATGTGAGCCCCTAACTGAAAAATAGTTACAGCAAAAAGGGCTGGGGGCTCACATGGTTTGTGGTGCAAATGGTAGAGTGCCTGAGGTCAAGCCTCAGTACTGCCAAAAAAAAAAAAAGAAAAGAAAAATTTATTCAGGGCAGTGTTTCCCTGAACTTAAAATTAAAAGCCATTATGGTGCAGCTCTGTGAGCCCAGCACTCAGGAGGCTGGGGCAGGAGGAGCACAAGTTCCAGGCCAGCCCTGACTATAGTGACACCCTGTCTCAGAAAACAGAAGTAAGAAAATAAAGGCGTTAACAAGGAGGTTTCTTGACAGTAATAGTAATGGAAGACATTGCTCTTGCATTTCATTTATATTAGGGGAATATACAGTAAGAATAAAATAAACCGTGGTGGGGGGGGGCGGTGGCCCAAATAATGTATATACATGTAAGTAAATGTAAAAACGAGAAACTAAAATGTTTAAAAAAAAAAAAAAAACCTGTAAACACACCTCAATCCTTTTATTTCCAGGTGCGAGAGCGGTTGCGAGTTGCGCTGGAGAGGTGCAGCTTGTTAGAAGAAGAACTGGGTGCTACACACAAGGAGGTGAGCTGGAATTGGGAGGATTTAATTCTACAAAAAACAGGAGGCCTTCAGCAGTAGAAGTCAGGAGGCATTTTCCAGTGTGGACCATCCTGTTGGGGGCCTGAGCTGCTGTTCCACACTGCAGGGCCTCTTAAGCACTCTTGTGCAGCAGATCACGACACTTCCCGAAGGCATCACACACGCTTCCTTGTTAGGCCGCGTCAGGCATTTTGCTGTCTTCACTCATTTCTCTCACAGAACCTATTTTACTCTGACATTAATTTTGTTTGTTTGTTTTAGTTAATGATTCTTAAAGAACAGAATAATCAGAAAAAAACACTAACAGATGGAGTGCTTGACATAGACCATGAGCAAGAAAATTCACCAAGCACGAATGGCAAGGCAAGTCAGGCCCTTGGGCTTCCTTTGTTCTGACTCCGTTTGCCCTGCACTTGTGTGAAGCTGTTGGGAAGCTGTGCCCAAGTAAAGTGCTGCTCACAGCTTGAGTGGCCCATAGATTGCATGAGTCTGTCTTCATAGCCCCTGCTTCCTGGAAGTGTTTCATTTCAGAGTACAGCGAACAGGGTTGTCTAAGGTGTGTATTTGTTCCATCAGAGATCTTCTGATGGCTCCTTAAGCCATGAGGAAGACCTGGCTAAAGTAATTGAGCTCCAAGAAGTCATAGACAAGCAGTCGAGAGAGCAGAGCCAGATGAAGGAGCGCCTGGCTGCCCTCTCCAGTCATGTGGCAGAGCTGGAAGAAGACCTGGACACGGCTCGAAAGGATCTCATCAAGTCTGAAGAAATGAACACAAAGCTGCAACGGGACGTCCGTGAAGTGAGTGATGGCAGAGGTTGCAGTGTGGGCAAGTCTGCTGTCGGGGTGTTTGGACCATTGCACTTTTCTCCTTTTTGTGCTTCACTCTCCCAGTTACTTTCATCCTTGGGGTTCCTTTTGAGAAATAGTGAGACAGAACAGTGTGATGGGACCTATTTAATCACTTACAAAATAAATGAGGACTGGATACTTTCTCCTGGTACCCCTGTAAGAGAGATCCTCCCCACCATTTAGCACATGTGTAGAGCAGGGTTAATTTCTCTTTTCTCCTCTGTAAATTCAGACCAAAGGGAAATGTTTGCATATGTTACAGAACCCGCTAAGTTCTGTTACTCTTTGGCTGCAGTAAATAGTTTACATGCAGAGAACTGTGAGCTTCTTTTAAGACCTGCCTTTTTAAATATTAAGACTTGTTAACAAGGAAGGACCTAAAAGCAGAGGATTTAGGGATAGAAGACAAGTAGTGCACATGCAGAAAAGTCTGGTCTAGTCACATGTTTGCTAGTGTGCAGTGTTAATTTTGCTGCCAGATTTTGCCTCCAACTTCATGTGGTTGTAAAATCCAGTGAATACTTTGACTTGTTTCCATTTGTCCATACGCTTGAACTTTGTCATTGAATGAGATTTGACACAGCTTTTACCCTAGAAAGTGAGACCTGTTTCTTGGCGCCGTTTGTATCAAGAGGCCACACTTGTCCTGTGTAAGCCCGTCTGTACCTTGGGGCAGACATAGGCGGCACCTGCATTGCAGATACCTTCACCTGCTTGAATCCTTGCAGTCTGTGTATTTTCATCGTGTGACTCAGGAAAGAGTAAGCTTGGTAATGCGAGTGGCCAGACATTCAGGAAGCCAGTTAATTGTGTGCTAATCATAACAGGAGGATAGTCATTACATATGAGGTAGGTGCATTTCATTCAATTGTGAGAAAATAGACATCAATTTAGTTCGGGGGATAATAATTTTATATTTGTTTTATACTTAGTATTTAGTCCAGTTTTTCCTCTCCTGAATATTTTAATGTGTTATGTATTAACTACCTACCTTTTTCCCTCTGAAATATTTAACGCAGGCAATGGCCCAAAAGGAGGACATGGAAGAGAGAATCACTACCCTTGAAAAGCGCTACCTCGCTGCACAGCGCGAAGCCACGTCTGTGCATGACCTCAACGACAAACTTGAAAATGAAATAGCAAATAAGGACTCTATGCATCGGCAGGTAATGAACCTGTTTCTGGTTTTAACTGATAATTAATGAGGATAAAGACCTTTTTCCTCCAAGTTGCATGTTGAAAATAAGTCCAAATGTCATTTTTTTAATGCTATTAGAATATTATGTTCAAGAATAGCCTTGTGCAGGAGGCTCACGCCTGTAATCCCAGCTACTCAGGAGGCAGCGATCAGGAGGATTGTGATTCGAAGCCAGCCCAGGAAATTAATTCTGCTAGACCCTATCTCGAAAATACCTAACACAAAAAGGCAGGTGGAGTGGCTCAAGGTGTAGCCCCTGAGTTCAAACCCTAGTACCACAAAAAAAGAAAAACAGAATTGGTGAGTTGCTTTGACTTACAAATTTTTTGTTCCTGTTTTGGTGGCAGTGGGATTTGAACTCAGGGCCTCATACTTGCTAGGAAATGGCTGTTCTGCTTGAGCCACATTCCAGCTCTCAACTTACAAGTTTTGATTATTTAAGATTTAATTCATGAACAAGGCCCTGAGTTTTTCCCCAACACTGCAAAGCAAAATTGTACATTGAAAAAGTAACTGGAGCAGCTTGTCATTTGGTGTGCCTATGCACTGTGACTGCCCCCTGCATTGTGTCACCTGTAAGGATGAAATAGATTTCTTTTTTTGAGGTAGAGTCTCACCATGTACTCCAGACTGCCCTCGAACTTGAGGTCCTCCTGCCTTAGCCTCCAGAGTGCTGGGGTCACAGGCATGGGCTGCCATGCTCAGCTTAGGCTGAAATTTTTCATTTTGTTTTGGTTTTGAACAAGGGTTGGTACTGAGTCCTTCATACTTTGTCAGTAAGAATGAGTAATTTCTTACAGAAAAACTAGTTTTCTTTAGTGTATAAGAACCTTGGGGGTTTTTGTTTGTTTGTTTGAAAAAAAAAAAAACTTCTTAGAAGATAATTAGAAAAGGTGAAATCCTTGTCAAGAGGTGTTTTATCAGGCCTAGCAGGTGAGTGTGAAAAGCTTTCTCTGAGGCTCAGTCTGTCTGCATTTGTTTTACCTGTTAACAGTTGAAAGGGTAAGATTGCATTCTGACACTCAGCTCTCTTTCTGTAGACGGAGGATAAAAACCGCCAGTTACAGGAACGCCTAGAACTGGCGGAGCAGAAGCTACAGCAGACCCTGCGGAAGGCTGAGACGCTGCCAGAGGTAGAGGCTGAGCTGGCCCAGAGGGTAGCTGCGCTCTCCAAGGTGCGTCTGGGCCATCATGGGTCTTGTGCCAGGACTCAGCTGTTCCAGGCAGTGCACCTGAGCCCATGGAACTGTTGTCAGTGCTGGGTTTTCTGAGATAGGAATGCTTCTTGCCTGTCAGACAGTGTCCAACCTGTCCTCTTGTCTGTCAGGTGCATGCTGTTTGTCCAGTGTTGTGATCTAAGAGTCACTGCTTCGTAGGGTTGTTCTAGTCACCAGCTCAAAACATAGACTGGGAGCTGTGTGGAAAAGGATAGACTTCTCAGAAATAGGAAAATGCCATTCTCATTTAAAGACATTCAAACTTAAGTAAATCTTTAAGTAATTTCACAAAATCAATTGACTTAAAAGTATGTTTGTTATTTGAGATGGGTCTTGCTGTGTTTCCCAGGCTGGCTCCAACCTCCTGGGCTCAGGCAGTCCTCCTGCCTCAGCCTCCTGAGTATCTGGACCATAGGAACACTGCCATGTCCAGCTTAACAAACACACTTTTAAAGTGTATTAAAGCTCTCCCAGTCCTCACCGTCCATGGGAAAGCAGCAGCCCCAAAGTGATGGTATAGTTGTTCAACTCGGCCAGCCCGCTTAGGGGTCCCCACAGCACCCGAGAAAGGCTTAACGCTGCAGTGCAGGAAACCTTGGCCACATCTGGACTCCATGTGAGCAGAAGCTGCACTGGCCCCAGTGGGCCTGTTTCCCCTGGCTTGGGCTTAGCTCCTGGGGAGGGACTATGGCTGGAGTGTCTGCAGAGAAAGGAAACCTTGGGGCAGGCGATGGTATCCAGCATCCATAGGCTGTCCATCAAGCTAGTATGTTGCTGTCAGGTGTAACAGAACCTTGACTCCCCGCCATGATCCACTTTTTAAAGTCTCGGTTTCTTTTCTCCCTGCTATCTCTCCTGTCCTTGTCGGCTTTGTAGTCTGATCCTTTGTCTTCTGGGAACTCTGCTGCTAAGGAAGCTAAACTGTTGGAACTTACTTCCAAGCTTAGGAAGGTAGAATGTGCACATTGCCCCTTTCTCATGCTTGCTGCTTGCTGCTTTTCATGCTGGCTCACCAAAAGCAGTGTACAGATGGGGGAGTCACGAGTCTGCTGAGGTCTGTCTGGGGTGGAGGGAACACAGAGGCAGGCACCAGCACCTGCCACGCTTTGGGTCAGCACGAGACGGGTTGTTGCCTCACAGTGTAGCACACGGGCCACAGAGGATGTGGTGATGGAAGCGAGTAAGTGCTGCCCTGTGGTGCAGCTGGAGTGGTCCGTGCAGAGCATGTGGTGCTTGTTGCTGCTGCAGTAGAATATAGCATGGCATTATGAAGTGTGTGTCGGGATCTGCTTACGTTGTCTTTGCTGGCAGGCCGAAGAGAGACATGGCAACATTGAAGAGAGGCTACGACAGATGGAGGCACAGCTGGAGGAGAAGAATCAAGAGCTGCAGCGGGTGCGTATGGAGCTGAAAGGGCTGAGTAGGGATGCTGAGCCTGGGATCCGAGGTGAGGCACAAGAGAGCAGAGGGCCTCTTTTCCACTGCCGCCTTTCCTTCAACTCCCACCCAACTCAGACTTTGGTTCTCCATTTCTCTCCTTGTCCTGCACTTGTTTTGTGGTCTCATCGCTGACTTTCCTAATGCATACACCCCATACACTGGCAGTTTATGTTGGTATTGGTGACAGGAGAAATCTGTGCCGTTGCAGTGCTGCAGGATGGACAGGATCCCCAGGTCTAAGAAGGTTTCTTGCTCATCTAGCTGTCAAGGGACTGCCCCAGTTACAAGTGGGACCCTACACAGATCCCCTAACATCTATGGTACTGGCCAGGAGACCCTCCTGATCATCGAGCAAGGCCCACAATTCAGGATGGCTAGTCCACTTGCTCAGAATGCAGCCAAAGCCTGGCCTCTGTCCCCTGACACTAGTTACTACTCCAAGCATAGTGGTAGGTGTTAGAGTGGCTATTTTAGAGCAAGAAGAACACAAAGACTGAGCAGTGAGGAACATTAGGAGAACGTGTGGTGATGGGTTGTGTCAGTTGAACCCTAAGTTTACCTTGGAATATCTCGGCAGTCTGGAACATCCAGGAAACAAATATGATAAGAGGCAGTCTGAGGCCCAGCAGGCAGCAGGCCTGGTATGCTGGGTTGGAGTCGTCTTTAATAAATGGGTAAGGGGAGGAAGCATAAATGCCTAATTGTAGAACTTTTGCACCCCGCAGCCAATTTTTTGTTATTAATGTAAAGCTGTTAGGTTTTATTTTCACCAGAAGTCTACTCTCGGCCATGCATTGGGAGAATCAGATGAGCTTCCAGGAAATGGCAGTTTTAACTCCCAGGGGAGATGGCACACCAGACAGTCCCCACCCACCTATCTACACGTACTCTCACCTCTAAGCAGGGTGACATTTTTACTTACTAGAGGACATACTTCATTACTGTCTAAGCTGTTCATGGAGTTAGGAAGGACAAGTAAAAGCTGTTTTGCTTTAAGAATTAAACGCTGGCAGGAAAGAAGCAGAGATTTCTAAGAGGGAATGTGTGCGTGTCGGGTCTTCTTTAGCAATGACGGTTGTTGTTACATGTTAGGCACAACCTGATTGCCATGCACTGACCTTACAAGCACAGGGAGATGTCGGGCCCCCACCCCCACCCCACCCCCGCTTCCCCAGTGAGGAACCTGCATGCACAGGGGCTGCTGAACCTCATGGGTGGCCTGTGGATTTAATCCTCCTCCCTGGGCAGAGTGCACCCTGTGCCTGCTGCCCTCTGCTTGGGAGGAGCCCCCTGAGCACAGCAGCCATGCTCTGGTGATGAGGGCATTGGATGTAGGTGCTACCTGTTAGCACCTATCCCTTCCACCTGTCTTTTTGTGTTCATTCAGGGACAAAAACGCAGCTTTAAACCTGGAAATTGATTATGGTTTTATAAAACACAGACCTGTCAGCTTTGTTACCACATTTTAAAATTATTTAGTCATTATTTATCATTTTTAGATGTAAAGTTCTTTTCTGAGAAATTCAAACAATGCAGGGATATAAAGGAGAGCACTTGAAAGGCTCCCTGTACCTGCTGCTGTGTTCAAAACTTTTTTTTTTTACCTTTTACTTTATAAATTAAATTCCATTTTTCCCTTGAATACAGACCCACGCTTTTATTTTCTCAAGGGAAGTTTCTCTTCGGTATGTGGATAAGCAGATCCTTAAATCTCCACTGTTCTTCTCAAGAACCTTCCCTCTGGTCCACCTGACAGCTGATGGCTGGTGACATTCCTGGCACCCCTGAGTACTTTGTTTTGTGGAAGCAACAGGACCTTCTAGTTAGTGACCTCTCCAAGCTTTAGTCCTGAGTTTCCGGATGTCCTTGACTGTGGACAACAGTGGGAAGGAGTGAGGAGAGTGGCACACATGTGACTGTGTGAAGTGAGAAACTTCAAACCTGAAGTTTCTGTTTCTCCTATGTAGGCCAGGCAGAGAGAAAAGATGAATGAAGAGCACAATAAACGTTTATCAGACACTGTGGACAAGCTTCTCTCAGAGTCCAACGAAAGGCTTCAACTCCATCTGAAGGAGAGGATGGCTGCTCTGGAAGACAAGGTGGGCAGACACACCGTGGAGCTCTCCTACTGAAGAGTGCTCTTCTACCACAGGTTGGGGCAGGTGGGGCAAGGCACAGCTGCTGTCCAGTCACCAAGCTGACTTCTTATTGCTGTGTCCTTGTCCCATTTGTGTGGGGGAGTTGATTGTCATTCAGGAGTAGGTAAGTTCTACAAAGGGCCAGATAGCACATATTTTAGGCTTTTAGTAATTATGAATAGTTAAATAATTTTATGATAGTTACTAATTAGCACAAAAGCAGCCAAAGGTAGCATATAAACAAATGGACATGGCTTTGGTCCAATAAAATGTCGTTTTCATGCCAGGTGTGATGGTGCATGTCTGTAATGACAACGCTTAGGGCCAGAGGCAGGAAGATCTCAAGTTCAAGGCCAATGTGGCTACATAGTGAGACCTTATCTCCAAAAAAATTGTTTTTCATTTTTAGAAATGGGCTGTGGATTGCATTTGACCAGCAGCCTTAATCTGCCAGTATCTGCACTAGGGTCTTCATTTGGTCCAGCCTCCACCCTCACTAACCTCTGCCATTTAAAACGTGCCTAACAGGAGGGGCTTAATCATTTACACCCAGACACTCCCCTGTTTCAACTCCCACCTTCTTTTGCTTCCATTGGGTTTGGAAGAATGAAGGGCGGCCCGGAGTCTCTGTCAGAGATGCGGTAATGGGAAGCAGTTGGGCTCACCTTTGGTGATCCCTGTCCTAGCTGTGCAGTGTCCCTGGAGGTGAGATTCACGAGTGTCCTGAGATTGGCACTGGGGTGGGGTTGTACTCATTTGAGATGGTTGTTACTCATTATGCTACACATGTATTTTACATGGACTGATTACAAGGCATTGTTATAGACCACACAGGACAGTTCCTCTCATCTTCTTTATCAGTAGGTCAGACATAGGTAGAAATACATTATCTTAGATTTTAATTATACGTTTAAAACTCAATTTCATGCTTCCCAAGTGACCAATGAATTGCAAGACCTGAAAGTTAGTATAAACCAGTTTACTTGCTCAAATCTACCTGCACCATAAGCTTGGCATGCCTGCAATTAGAAATTTGATCAATGAAGGAGCCAGTTTTGCAGGAACGAGAGAAATAACTAGAGCTGCCATTGGCTCATGGTCAGCATTTCACTCGTCCTGGGGTGCTGCTCCCTCATGCATCTGTTAACCTTTCTTTTTCTGCAGTGGTTCAGTTTTTAAACAAGTATGGCCATCTTGTATTATATGGAACATGGTAAAGAATCAGCACTGAAGGACTCTAATCTTTTTCAGAATTCTCTGTTACGAGAAGTTGAAAATGCAAAGAAGCAATTAGAAGAAACGCAACACGATAAGGTACTCAAGTGTTCTCCAAGTCACTGAGCGGCCGTTGGGAGCTGAGTGGTGTCATTATTTGTAGTGACGCAGATAGTTGGCGGAAGTTGCCATCAGCTTTCTGTATGGCTCTCCTAGTCACCAGCATAAGGTGCACAGCACTCCTAGATTTGCACGTTGAATGCTTTGGGTTCGAGATGCAATGTGTGTGGTTCAAAATTCTGGGTCCTTTATGGGTTTGACACTAAAATACCAGCATAAGCCTTTCATCAAAACATTGCTGTTGGGGGTTGGTGGTGTGGCTCAAGTGGTAGAGCTCCTGCCTAGCAAGTGCAAGGCCTTGAGTTCAAACCCCAGTACTGCCAAAACAAAGCTGTAAATGAAAACAGTGCTGACCCTGGGTTCCGTACCTAGCAACACACACATACTCCCTAAGAATAAAAAAGAACAGTGCTGTTGGACAGAAATATTAGTATGAGCTACATACATAATTTCCAACCTTCTAGTAGACACATTTGGAAAAAAAAAACAAAGAAATAGGTAAAAATTGATATTATTTAGCCTAATATACCCAAAACGTTACTGTTTCATTATATATAAATACAAAGTGTTGATGAGCTACTGCACATTCTGGTTCCATACTAAAAGTCTTTGAAGTTTGCTGTGCAATCTGTAATCACTGCACATGACATTTTGGTCTGGTGAATTCACAGGCTTAGCAGCCATGTGGCAGTGGCTAGTGTACTGGACAGTGCAGATCTAGAAGTGAGATCGGAATACAGGTGATACAGGAAGTGAGAACAGTGCAGAGAGTGGGCAGCAAGAAGCGAGTGCCATTCCCCTGCTCTCCAGGAGCATTCTCCTCTACAAAATGTGTTAATGACTTTGTGCTTATCCCTTTGGTAACTTTTGTATGACTAAGACGGAGCTTTGCAAAAGTTCATTAGGCTTTACCTTAATTTGGTGGTTTGTGTGATTATGTTTATTGTATGACTCACCAAGAAATTTTCTCAGGTTTGAAATGTTTGATGTTCATAGCTGCTAATTTTATCTGCTACCAGTATTTGAGCATATTTGATGCAAATTTTTAAATCTAAGAGAGAGCTTTTTTACTGTAAGTCATTTACTGTTTTGTAGGACCAGCTTGTCCTAAACATTGAAACACTGAGGGCTGAGCTAGACCAGATGAGACTGAGAGGTGCTTCACTTCATCATGGGTATGGTATTAACAAATTAATAGGAGTGTTTTTAGCACCTGTTGTATGCATGCGGGGGCCTGTCCTTGCCTTGTGGGTAGTACAGCTAGAGATAGTGCAGGCAGGGCCTGACCTCCAGGAACTTGCAGCTAGCAGGCAGGAGGGAGAATAAAGTGTCCTTCCCAAGGTGAGAGCAGGTACCTGGGTGGCATATTGCTCGTAACACTCAGAAACACGGGACAGGTTCAGAAGGTGGGGGAGTGGTCAGTTAACATTTGGACGAATTGAGGTACCCAGTGGATTGTGACATGGACACTGTTGGGACAGGAGGACATAGCTCAGAGGTAAAACCTTCACAGAACTGAAGTTGCATTGTGGAGTGAGTCTGCTGAGGGAGCAGCTGCACAGCTGGAGCTCAAGAGATTCTGTGACATCAGGGCTTATACAGCATTTGGAATGGTTCTTTTTTGCAAGACACTGAAGGTTTGATGGTCATATGAAAGTGTACTGAGATGAGTTGGAGTTGGCTGACATGGGGGCAAATCGCCTGGCTTGTGAGTAAGTTCAACATGCCCAGCACACAAATACCGCAGCCTTATTTCTCCCTCTCTTTGTGATAAGGGCGGCTCTTATTAAGGTATTAAAATGTTGTTCTGTTTTTGTTTCTTTGAAGAAAATGGCCATCAAGTGAGAGTTGAACTTTAGCAAAGTTACTAAGGCAGTTACCTGGTCACCTTTTTTACAGGCTTCTGCTTGAAACACACATGGCAGGCAGTGAGGGCCTGTGTGGATACTTCTACCTTGATGAGTTTAGGGTCTTGTGAAGGGCTGGGGCAGCCTGTAGCCTGTCCTACCAAACCTACTTCTAGACAAGAAGAGGAAGCAGTGAAAACAGAGCCAGAAACCTTCACAGTCTGCACAGCTTTCCAGGAGGGAGGTTTCCTGCTCACAGAGAGAAGCTGCTGAGGGCCACGAGGACAGAGAGAAGCTTTGACTGCTGTTGGGGAGAGAGCACCACTGAGAGGCTGGTGTCATCAGTGTGACCTCAGCAGCAAGAGGGAGTCAGTAAGGTGTGTGTTAGTAGGAAGATGTGGGGAACTGATGGTGTGGATGAGACAGTCTTACCATCCTCCCATCTCTGCCTCTGGAGAGCTGGTTATCTACCATAATGCCTGGCTTTCATGTGTGACAAAACAGAGTTTTAGTGATGAAGGGAAGGAAAGAAGTTGAAGTGGCAATACAATTAAGGGGACACTTCTTTAAGATGGAGAAGGCTTACCCATGTTTGCCAGCTGGGGTGTGATAAGTGAAAGATGACAAGGGAGAGGAAGTGTTTGCTCTGGGAGCCCCAAGGGGGCAGGCAAGGATGGACTGTGACACACATGGTTGGCTTGTCTAAAGACAGTGGGCAGCAGAAGCCAGGCAAGGAGGACCTGGCCTGGTTTTCCAAGAGGAAGGTCTAGGGCTTCCACATCAGGTGGCTTAGAGGGGAAGAAGCCTATCACAGTAGGATGGTATAGGTCCTTGTAGGAGGAATGAAAAGACTGGGTAGCCACTTACTTCACATGACTTGACAGTTACCTTGTTAAGAATTGATTCTGTGATCTTCTCCTGGAAGTAAAGGTTGTCTCCCCTGAAGAATGGGAAAGACAGAAGAGGGACTTCCATCAGTGGGCTGGAAGTGATTGGGGGCGGGGGGACATAAGCCTGGAAAAGGGCATCAGCAATAGGAGGTCTGTCAGTGGTCCTCAGAGGATCCTGAACTGCACCTTACGTGCAGTTGCTCATGTGTGGTGAGCTTTGTCCACCCCTGGGGGTGCCACACCTCAGAGCAGCTCGCTAGGAATCCTGTTGAGAAAGACAAGCTGTTTCTTTCGGGATGAGTGATGGGGCGTGCAGAGGTGGCTGTGGCCAGGGGAAAAGTCCAGACTTGACACCTTACAAACAAGCATGCACCTCACAATCACTCACCAGGCATCTCCTTAAAACACAGGGAACGCGAGGGCTCTGCCAGCCTACAGTGAACAGGTGCCATGTCCTAAGGCCCTGTCTGCAGCTCTGCTGGAGAGTTGTGAGGGATCCCCTACAGAACCTCCTATAATAACATCAGTGGGTTCCGTCTTCGAGATCTTTGCTTCAGGAACAGAGGCAGCACCTTCTTTCTCCAGAACTAGGGTGCTAAAGGAAGCAGAAACTGGGCAGCAAGAGGATAGGCATGCTGTGACTAAGTTCCCACTACTCCACGGGCCTTGACCAAGAGAACGGCCGCTCAGTCCTCTCCTCCTTTTCTGGGGCCTTCTTAGTGCTGTGTTCGTTGCTGTGACCTAAGTGCACACTCTGTGAGCTTTGGGTTCAGAAGCATGGAAGCAGCTTCAGTTCCAGTCCATAGGTGCCCAGCTGTGCTGAAGGGACTTCTGCAGCCAGGCCTCCGGGGGCACTTGTCACCTATGGTTCTCATGCCATGAATCTTGGCACAAGTGGGAAAGCCCCAGAGCAGTCTTTGTGGGTTTTCCTGGATGGTGGATTTCCTGACTTGGTGGGGCTGAAAGACTAAAAATTGCAATGTTGGCTAGGAGTAGGCAGCACTGAGTTCTGAAGGCCCAAGGAGGTGCCCTTCAGGGAGACCTTTTCCTGCATGAAGTCACAGTTAGTTTACCTTTCTTCTAATACCGACCTTTTCTTTCACATTTCAGCCGACCCCACCTGGGCAGTGTCCCAGATTTCAGGTTCCCTGTGGCAGATGGGCACACAGATGCCTACAGCACCAGCACAGTCTTGCGGCGCCCCCAGAAAGGCCGGCTGGCAGCGCTGCGGGATGAGCCCTCCAAGGCAAGGCCTCAGCTTACATTAGCAGCTCGCCTGTCCATCCTGAAGTAGCACTCGCGACCTCGCGACAGGCCTCTTGCCTCCTCTTCTTCTCTGTTTTCCTTTTCCTGGCTTTTCTGGCTAAGAGTTTGCTTTTAGGGCATGCTTGGTTTTTTATCTTTTTTATTTTTTCTTTTTTGGTGGTGGTGGTGGTGGTGGTGGTGATACAGATGTTTGAACGTGAGGCCTCATGCTTTCTAGGCAGGGGCTCTACCACTTCAGCCACATCCCCAGTTCTTTTTTTTTTTTTTTTTTAAAGTGCAATGCTAATTAGTACCAATTTGAAGTAGTAGTTAAATGTAAATGAATACACATTATTTGTACTGTAGTGAAAAGAACTCATATTTCTGCTACTATGACAAATATCTGAAATAGTCGACTTAAAAAGAGAAAAGCGTTTTTTGCCTCACAGTTTTAGGGGTCTAAGTCCATGATTGGTTGGCCTTGTAGCTTTGGGTGAAGCAGCATGTCATGACAGAAGCATGTGAGGGAACACAGCTCACCTCATGGTGAGGAACAGGAGTGGCCAGTACCCCACAGTTCCTTTCAGGGGCCTGCTCCCAGTGGCCTAGCATCCTCTCACTCGGCCCACGTAATGAAGTCTCTACTGCCTACACAGTGGACCCATTAACAGCATGGTCTGTTCAGCAGTGTGTGCTTGGATAAGTTTCTATATTAACTTGAGCATCCACATTCATTGGAGTAATTTGGACCAGACACCATTGTACATCAGCTCTGTGACAGTGAATAAAAACAAACCGAATGCCACCCTTCAGAGCACACAGGCTAGTGAGGAGAGACAAGTGGTCAACAATAAACCATGGTGTGGGTGTTAGCTGTCTGGCCCTGTGTAGCCACCTCCTACAAAGCTCCGTGGACAGCACTGGACACCGCAGCTCACTCGTCTGAGTCTGGGAGCCGCATGGCAGGATGCCTCAGGCCCAGAGCCTCTTGTGCTTGCAGCCCTTGGAGGACTCAGGAGGTATACTCACATAGACTTGGTCCCGCTGTGTGGACCTGGCCCTGGGCTGCCTGAGGGTCCTTGTGGTGTGATAGTGGCTTCCCGCAGAGCTCACATTGTAAGAGAGCTGAGAGAGAGCCCAGAGTGCCTTGCCTCGTCTTGGAAGTCACACTCCATCCAAGTCGCAGAGTTGTGAACATAGTTCACACCATCCCCATGTGTCAGATGGAAATAAGGAGCAGGCAGGGGGACCTGCATTGTAGAGCAACAGGTAGAATTTTAAACAGAGTAGCCAGGAACTGTCACCATGAGGGTGACATGAGAGCAGAACCCTGTAGGAAAAAAAAGAAGGGACCATTCTGACTCTGAACTGTTAGGAGGTGCCCGCAAGCTGGGCTGAGAGGGTGGGTGGACAGAAGATGACCAGGGTGGCATGACTTGAGCAGCTGGAAGGACCAAGTCTGTGACCTGAGATAAGGGAGTCTGCAGGCCTTGGGGAGGCTAGGAGATGGCCTCAGCTGTGTTCGGGTGGTAGGCTTGTCTTATGTGCAAGAGGAGGAATTGGATATTGGATGGTGGCCATTGGATATTGCAGCATGGAACCCAAGGAAACAGTCTAGAACTAGAGATGAAAACTTGGGGGGTGATGGAGAGGCAGATGGTATTTAAAGGTGTGAGACAAGGTGAAGTCAGGCATGGAAGCCTGTTGATAGAGCCATGGACCATGAGGCTCCAGACTTACAGGCTAGGAGCATGAGATGGTGGAGTGACTATCAGGAGGAACCCAGGAGAGGTGGGGTCCTGGGCCAGGTAAGCAAGAGACTCTGGGGAACGGACAGCATCCAAGGCAGGTTAGATGGACAGGTGATCTGCCAGCTGGTAAGGTTGGTAACTATGGGTTGGCACTGCCCTGGAGCAGCTCTGCTGAAGGAGGTATGGCTTGGTGCAGAGGTTTCACTCTGGTGGGCAGAGAAGTGAGATGATAGGCAGCAAGAGCCTGGGGTGGGGAAAGGTTCTATGGTTTCTCTATAATTATTTTAAGGAAGGAGAGGGGAGAAAATGTTGTGCTGATGGGATAATTCAAAGGGAGGGAGAAAGCGTGAGAGAGGAGAGTATGGGCCTCAGCTTCACACCGTGGCCATCAGCTGGGAGTGAGAAAGGCAAGGTGTGTGAAATGATCACAGGGATTCCACACCCCTAGTGCACAAGGCTGTCCTCTGCGTGTCCTGGTTACAAACTGGAGTCTTCCCACATGAGCTGCTTTTCTCCAGAAAACCCTGCGTGCCAGCTGGCTGTCCACTGGTGCTAAGGAGCTGTGCATCCTCAGGGTTGCTCCTTCTCTGTTTTGCTTCCGTCTTCTTGCTTTTCTCAACGCTGTCAGCACCAGGCTCACTAAAGGAAACTAGAAACTCAGATTCACTGTCATTTGCTGACATGGGTGGATGTGATGGCAGCTGAGTGAACCCAGCTGGTGTGTAAGTTTAGGTCATTTTGTACTTTCTGTTAAGATGGCCAATTGGGATACAGATGAATTTGTATCTTTTTGAAGTTTGGGGTTTTTTCACTGCTGTCTCCCCATTGTGAGTCATTGCAGAAATGCTTCATGTGCACATAAAGACATTGACATTACAAGGCAGTCCAAATGATAGATTCCCTGTTTCTCTTTCCCCCTCCCCCTTTATTTGTTGGTTGAGACAGGGTCTCACTAAGTAGCCCAGGCTGGCCAGACAGGGTCTCACAGTCTCCCTGCCCCAGCCTCCCAAGTGATGGGATTACCATGCCTCTGTCTCTTCTATCACTTGCTTAGCAGTTAATAGTTTGTAAGCACGACCTGTCTTTGCAAACTCTTGGGGCCTCCATTTCAAATGGTCATATTTCTGAGCGCTCTCTCTCAGGCTCCTATGACTGGTGCCTCTGCTCTCAGTCTGCTGCGATGTGTCTCCTTAACAGGTACAGACTCTCAACGAGCAGGACTGGGAGCGGGCCCAGCAAGCCAGTGTCCTGGCAAATGTGGCACAGGCATTTGAGAGTGATATGGACGTGTCTGACGGTGAAGACGACAGGGACACTCTGCTCAGCTCTGTTGATCTGCTGTCACCCAGCGGGCAGGCCGATGCACAGACACTGGCCATGATGCTTCAGGAGCAGCTGGATGCCATCAACAAGGAGATCAGGTGTGTTAGGGTTCATTTCCTGGGGAGGCCTGCATGGTCTGAAAGGCCCAGCATAATGAAACATACTTATATTTGGTTTTAAGAATTTCTATGATGGCCTTGATTATAAACTCACATAGCCCGTGCACCCCCACTCGCAAACCAGTGTCATTGTGCCAGGGCTTTTGTGAAAGACACAGTGGAAGGTGAGACATTTAGTTCCCTCCTGGCAGCAAAAGACAGTTAGAGGCCTAGCTGGAGGGTCTCAGTGCCACCTGAGGGGGTCTAGGGCTCCATTGTTCCCTGCCATTCAGAAAGCTGTGCCTGGGAGGACAGATTCATGGAACACAGGGAAGGGTTCTGCCCTGAATGGTGGGGACTGGAACATGCTGTGGATGAACAGCACTGGCCTTTGTTCGGTTGGAAGTGCCAGTGCAGGGTGACTCGGCAGCAGAGACAAGCAGAGCTCAGCCCGGGGCAAGCAAAGGGTGGAAGGTGTGGTAGAAAGTGAGGGAGAGCTTATCAACCCCTGCTCAGCCAGTGTGCACTTGACTCTGAGCCTCAAAGGTCCCCCTGTGCGTCTCCCAGCACAGATGGGCTGCTGTGTTATACCCTCAGAGCCACGTCTTCCAGTGCCTGTCACACGGCCCACACAGAAAGCAGGTTTCCCACTCCGGTTAATACAATACATGAAAATTCATCCTCTGCAGGATGAGTGGCCAGAGGCGAGGTGTCCAAATCGCTTTAGTCTCATCAGTACTTGACAGGGTTTTTTCTTTAGCACATTAGCTGTTACAGTGGGAAATTGACAAAATAGTGAGCCAGCTGTGGAATCAGACCCAAGCCTTGGCTATGTAGTGATGGAAAGGCCTTAGGTGGGGGAGTAAGGGAGGGGGTGGGGGAAGGGGGGGGAAATAAAAAAAATTTAAAAAAAAAGAAAGGCCTTAGGTATCTGCTGTTGACAGTGGTATGGTCTTGGGGCTCAGTACTGGGTTCATTTCCCAGGGAGACCCCTGCAGGGGTGCCTAGAGATCTGCTGCATGGGTTCAGAGCAGAAGTAGCCCAGCCAGTCCTGGACCCAAGTAAAGAGCATCGGGGGTTCAGGGGCTCTCACTTCATTCTCACAAAGTTGACACTCATGGAAATGCCCATTCCTGCCTGGGAAGAGCCTGAGGTCAGCAGAATAACCTCCAAAGGCTACAGGGATGGCCATGGTAAGTGCAGAAGCAGAACCTTTTCCTGCAGCCATGGGGATGTGGGAGGTTCCTGTACTTTCAGCTTTTATTTTCACAGTGTATTGCTAGATAAAAAGATTGGCAATACATGCAACAGCTGATCTGGCATCTGACTTCTAGACCTCCCTCTGTCAGTAATGATCAAAAAGCTTTCCTTAGATTCCGTGAGTAAGAGCCTTAGTTGCAAGGGTTGCCACAGGGTTTCTGTACTTCAATACTAGAATGACCGTCACTGCTGCTTAGTGCTCCAGTCAGTGCACTGTGGCCAGCACACATCCAGAAACCCAACAAGACCAGCAACGCCTGTGCTCACATTTCAACTTTAAAAAGTCAGCTCAACGTTTTCTTTTAGCCTAGTGTTAAGTGTTAGGAACTCCTAATTGCTTTGTGGATCAATTCTTTGCATCAGAGTCCCTGAGTTTCCATGAAATCTGTAAATAAATGTCAGCCTCACTCTAACAATAGGAGAGAGAACAGTTGTAAAGTTAAAATAGTTCATCTCTTAATAAGGACATTATTAGTTGTAACCATAGAAAAAGCTGCAAGCTAGCCCTCTCCAAAACTGTAGTATAAGTAAATTCAAATGAGTAATAGCAGAACCAACTTGGTAAGACTCAATGGGAAAATTACTTTGTTGTTCTAAAATTCAGCATGATAGGTAAAGAGTTTAAGGTTTTGCTGAAGTGTAAATCAAGCTAGTTAATATTGGTATTTACTCAGAGTAATGCAGAATATAAGCATATTTTTTCATCCATCCACAGCAATCTCTTTGCTAATGAAGGGAAAGTGACCACCTTTGTTTTGATTTTAGGTTGATACAAGAAGAAAAGGAGAACACAGAGCAGCGGGCAGAGGAGATTGAGAGTAGAGTTGGCAGTGGAAGTTTAGACAATCTTGGTCGTTTTAGATCAATGAGCTCCATCCCCCCCTACCCTGCCTCCTCGCTTGCTGGCTCCTCCCCTCCAGGCAGCGGTCGCTCCACCCCCAGAAGAATCCCTCACAGCCCTGCTCGGGAGGTGGACAGATTGGGTGTCATGACCTTGGTAAGTGTGGCCTTTCCACTGCAGCTTGCCCTAGCACCCATGTGAAGCGTTGCACATGGGATTTGCATTTCTTTTCCCAAAGAAACTCAAGTACCTTTGTTGTTTTAAGATTTTTTTAACGATGTTTTTAAAACTAGCTAGTATTTAATCATTATGTCAGGTTAATTTTAATATTTGGATGACCAGGTTAATAGGCCATCATTTAGCTGTGTGACATGAGGCAGGGGCTTTGTGTAAGCACAGCAGCCAGAAGAGGAGCTACTTCCTGCTGTGTATAATATACAGCTAACAAAAAGTAAATATAGACAGATCTGGAAAGATGTGTGAAAAACCAGGCAGGCATAGTGGGACATGCCTGCAATCCCAGTGCTTGGGAGGGTGAAGTTGAAGGATCACAACTTTGATGCCAGCCTGGAATGAACGAGGTGGCTTCCATAAGCAGAAGCCAAGCAAATTCTGTATCTACAGAGTGAGACCTTGTTGTAAAAAAAAAAAAAAAAAAAGTGCAACAGAGTCAGTGGCGTTCCCATACAGCAGGGTGCAGCTGAATCTTCAGGGCATTGTAACCCAAAATAAGGCTGAATTGTATTCTGCATGGGAGCCCATTAGCAGCTAAGCCATCGCTCCCATTGAAGCAGATGGGCTTCTTTGCATGGGGGTCACTTTTGTGGGTCAGCATGGGGTCACTTTTTTTCTCATTTGGTGACCTCAGTCTAGGTTTTGTCATGTGAAGTCATGTTGCAGCGTTCTGCAGTTCCCCTGCACCTCCACCACTGTATCTGTTCCTGTCTGTTTCCATTTTTAGCTGCTTCATTAGCCAGCACACAACTAAATAAACTGAATTATTTAGTGGCCTTTTGATATGCCATACGATTTTATAACGTACACCATTAGCTAACTAGGTCATATTTTAAACTCTGACATTCTCATCTGTGGTTTCGTCCTTATTTCCTTCCAGCTGCTTTATAAGAACAGCCGTGTGTGTTCTTTCTTTATAGTTCAGTCTGCTGGCTGACAGTCTGTCTGCTTCATCGTTGGTTTTTGACTTCCTATGTCATCCTTGTGTTTGTTTTATCACTCTAGTCAGCTCCAGATTCATTTCTTCTCCAGAGCCCAGATCCCCATCAGTCTGTAGTGTACCCAGCCTGCGTCCCTCCAGTACTCTCATGCTGTGACAGCACTCCACAGCCTGCACAGGGACCAACCTGAGCAATGAGTGGTCAGACTTTTTCATTAAAGCTGTAATTACTGTATAGTAAGTGTGAACACAGGCATGAGATAGATGGTTGAGTGTTTTTACTCAATATGTAGCATCTGTATGACTTGTCAGCCAGGTTTTTCCTATGTAAAGAAACCTGTGTGGGATTAATGGAAACTACACAGACGATACACATTCTGGTTTGGGTGGTTGTAAAGGTAAGATGTAAATCTTGACTTACTGAGCATGGGCCAATGTCTTTAACAGACTCTCCTTACTAGAATATCGTACATGAGTTGTAACATGCAACGTTTCTACACAGTACTATGCTAGATTTTGTTCTTATATATATTCACAAGATACCTTGCTTTAAGCAATAAATTTATTTATTTTGTGTTGCAGAGGATTGAACCCAGTATAGATTTATTTTTAAGAATAAATCAGATATCAGGCGAGGATTTTCCATTAATGTCCAATAGATAATTAACTAAAAGTAAGTTTACTCTCTGCTATAATAGGTGTTGAAATAACTTTCTCCTCGATTAGAATATTTTAAATTATGTTTTTATTAAAGAAAACTAAATTATAGAGAGGGCCGACTTAGAGGAAATGATTTTTAGGGTCATTTGTTATACAGAATGCCCATGTTTTAGTAAGTTACGTTTTCAAATAGAAATTTGTCTCTGAAGGTAACTTATCTGTGCTGATATTCCCATTTTAATATATTGGATTGTACTGATGTTTGAATTTTTAACTTGAGAGTGTTCAGTAAATCTGGTTTCTCTTCTTTGCATGCATCTATCAGCCTAGTGATTTAAGGAAACATCGTAGAAAGGTAACCTACTCAGTAACATCCCTTTGTGTCCCTGTAATGCATTGAGTATCATATTTCACATAGGTGCAGGAGGGTTTTCTCAGGTGATACATATGACTAGCGTATTAATGCAAGTGTTGATGCCCTGCACATCCCATGCTTGTGTTAGGTACTGGTGGGTCAGGGCCACTGGGGCAAATGAGAGAGTTTTCCCCTGGTTCCACATTCAGTCTCCACATGCTTGTTTATCATAGACATGGCATTTAGGGTTTAAAAGTGCAGAATGGGTCAAGCAGAGCCGTAGGTTTAGATTCGGGGAAACTAGTGCCCCTCAGGCTGATGGCTGGCATTTAGCAAGCTCCTGCTGCATGCCAGGCGCCTGTTGTCTTGTGTCCCTCACACATGCCCCGTGACATACTGGGATGGTTATCCCCAAAGACAACTGACTGGGGGTGGGTTTGAATGTTTGGTTTTACAGCAAGATTATCTCAGTGAAGAAAGCAGCATATTGGCCACACTCAGATCACCTGGTCATCTTGTCATTGGTACCTTCGGCATGCAGCCTGGTGACTTTGAGAAGGCTTGTCCTGTGGACTGTGTGGACTGGCCTGGGGTGTATCCACAGGACCAGGCATGGGGCCAAACACTGGGACTTTCACCTTCCTCCCATGCTTCAGTATTACAGCTAGACTGAGGTGACTTCCCTGCTTTAATGGCACTTGGGGAAGACTCTGAGGTGAGTGGGGTGGGTCCCCATTCTGTACGTTGCTGCAGGAGCACAGAGGGCAGTGCAGGTCAGCCCAGGCCAGCCTGGGAGGCTCCACTGGAGTTGCTGACTACTGAGCTGGGCTCTGCAGTGGAGCTTGGCTCTGCTTGGCTCCAGGACCACTGGGTGTGCCTTTGAGTTTAGAGAGGGCAGAGCCTTGGGCTGACGGAGGAGCTGGCAGGTGTCTTTGTCCTACCCAGGTTTCATAAGGCTGACTGCTCTGTGCTGTGTGGTCTCACTTCTGGACAAACAGTCCTTCAAAATGGTATTAACTAAACCAGGCACTGTGCCTCACGCCTATAATCCTAGCCTCCGGAGGCTGAGATCAGGAGGATCGGGGTTCCAAGGCCAGCTGGGAGAATTCTCAGAAATAAACAGCAGGAAGGTGTGGCTCAAGTGGTAGAATACCTGTTTTGCGAGTGTGAACCCCTGAGTTCAAACCCAGTCCCATCCCCCCCACCCCAAAGACAGGGTGTCAAACAAGGCTGTATATACTCGTGGGGACTGTGGCCAGCAGGTCTCCAAGCAGGCTTATAACTATAATTTACGACCTATGTGGTTGTGCTTTTACAGTGCACTGTGAACTAACTTTACTGTTACTTTGCCCCTCAGTTGCCAGCTTCCAGTGAAGAGGTACGAGATGACAAGACAACAATAAAATGTGAAACCTCGCCCCCCTCCTCCCCAAGGTCCCTGCGGTTAGACAGGCTACACAAAGGCGCGTTGCATACAGTTAGCCATGAGGACATCAGGGATCTGAGAAAGTAAGGACCCGGGCTGACAGGCCATAAGTTTGTGCGGAAACCTTCTTGTCTTGGGTTTAAAAGTAGCTATTAACCTTTTCTTGGGGGGAAAAATAATTTTTAGGCCAGGCATAGGAGCTCATGCCTATAATCTGAGCTACTTGGCAGGTAAGATCAGGACAATCAAAGCCAACCTGGGAGAAAAGTTAGTGAAACCCCATGTCAGTAAAGAAGCTGGTCGTGGCTGGCACCTGTAGCTCATGCTTGTAATCTTAATCCTAACTACTTGGGAGGCTGAGATCAGGAGGATCAAGGTTCAAGGCCAGCCCAGGCAAATAGCTCACGAGGCCCTCATCTTCAAAATAACTAGGACAAAATGGGCTGGAGGTGTGGCTTAAGAGGTAGAGCCCCTGCTTTGTGAGCACAAAGCCCTGAGTTCAAACCCCAGTGCCACCAAAAAAGAAAAAAAAAAAAATCATGGTGGTGTGCCCTTATCATCACAGCTACATCTAAGGTCATAGGTAGGAGAATCGTGGTCTGAGACCATCTCAGAAGGGGGAACGTGAGGCCCTATCTAAAAAACACTAGAAGCTAAAGGATGGGGGGGCGTGGTTCAAGTGGCAGAGCAGTAGAGCGCCTGCCTAGCTAGTGTGAGGCCCTGAGTTCAAACACTAGTACCTCCAAACCAACAGCTTCAAAAAATGCCATTTAATCCAGTTGTGACTGTTGAATGTTAGCCCTCTGAGGACCACCACTGATGCACTGTTACGACATCCAGCAGAAGATGCCTTGTAGGTGCCTTGTAGAAGACACCTTGTAGGTGAAGTTTGGGAAGAAGGGAGTTTCATGAGACCGCTACTGCCTCTCTGATGCCCTTCTGCATCCTCGGTTTTGTTAGCTGTTGAGAGTTCCACGTCATCCTCACCCCTTTATTAAAGGGTTTCCCATCAGGTGCTGGCAGACTGGCTCAAGTGATAGGGTGCCTGCCTAGCAAGCTCGAGACCCTGGGTTTAACTCCAGTACCAGGGCAGGGAGTTTCCCATTAGAAGACCAGGAAACTGTTTGGTTACTGATAGGTGATGGTTTTCCACACTCCCTGCTATGGAGTTTCTATTCAGTGCCAGGCAGTGTGTGATGGGGGGCATGCTGATGGTAGTCCCCACAGCAGCCTTGCAGGCCAAGGAGGGCGGGACCAGGGAGCCTGTGGGCCTGCTGAGAGGCGCACAGATGTCACTTCACCTAGCCCTCGAGGCTGTGCACTTTGTACTCCCTCACCCAGTGGCTAGGAGCAGCTAATGCTGGCCAAGTGAGGCCCCCGAGGAGGGCGGCAGTCACTGGGGCTGGGTTGGAGTCCCTCCTCTGAAGGGAAAGACTGCATGAGAGCAAATCCTGGCTTCCAGAAACAGATGTCTGTGTGACCATTACTGGCAGCCTGTCTGTGCACATGACACACTGAGGGATTTGAAATGTTTTTTAGGAAGTTTAAGAAACCATTAAAAATGCAAAGTAATGGGCAGAGGTATGGCTCAGGTGGTCGAGCGCCTGCCTAGTCATCGAGAAGCCCTGAGTTCAAGCCCCAGTGCTGCCAGAGTATGTGTTGGGGTGGGGGTGGGGAGACAAGGTAAGCAGGGCCTGGGGGCACTTGAGAGGCTGGGGAGCACGAGTTTGAGGTGAGTGAATATTGTGACAGAGGCACATGGTAAAGAGCCGTTTTCTTCCTTGAAGCTCGACGGGCTCCCAGGATGGTCCAGCCAGCAATCCCAGCAGCAGCAACAGTAGCCAGGACTCACTCCATAAGGCCCCAAAGAAGAAGGGTATCAAGTCCTCTATTGGCCGCTTGTTTGGCAAGAAGGAAAAGGGCCGGCCTGGACAAATCGGCAAAGATCCATTGGGGCAAGGTTGGTTGGTTGGCAGCAAACTTCTTAACAAATGGTGGTGGGATAAGCTCTTGCCATGTGCCTGCTGTTTAAGATAGCTCCCATGGTGCCTGATGCTGTATGTCCTGCAGGGACCATGTGAACCAAAGAACACCGGTTAGAGCCCCTCTTCCCCAAGTGATTGGCAACTTACAGGTACAAGTCTGCTGTCTTGAGCAGCTTCCTGCTGTCTGTCTGGTTAGAAGTTACTTACTCTGTGCCTGCAGAGAGCCTCTACCTATTTGTGAAAACTATGACTTTTAACATGTGGCTTTACCCTCAGTTTCTGCTTCCTTGTAGCTGGTATTTCTGAGACAGAAAACTCATCTCAAGATGCCTTGGGACTCAGCAAATTGGGAGGACAAGCTGAGAAAAATCGTAAACTTCAGAAAAAGTAAGCTTTTTCTTATTTTTCCATTTCACTGAACACTTTTCAAAATTAATGTTTGATTTTCAGCTGTATCTTCTTAACATGTGATACATGGCTAGGTGTATACAGTATCTTCTGGAAGATTACTATATCTGCTACCCTTCAGCACTGGGGTTTAAACTCAGGGCCTCATGCTTGCTAGGCAGGCGCTCTACCGCTTGAGCCATCCCACAGCCCTTTTGTGTGTGTGTGGTGGGGGGTATTTTCAGGATAGCGTCCCTTGAACTGTTTGCCCAGGGCTGGCTTTGAACCTCGAGCCTCCTGATTTCTGCCAGTCTAGTAACTAGGCAATCGTCTTTTCTAAAGCACACTTTCTGGAGGACTGAGGGCATTTGTGAAGTTTTGAAAGCAAACACAGGGATTCCCAGTCCACCTTGGAAATTTATGCGCTAAGGCTGGAGTGGGGAAGAATTGGACTCTGCAGCAGAATTGGACTCTGCAGCTGTGTGGCTCTGAGAAAGTTACTTAGCCTCCTTGTGCATCAATTTTCTCCTCTGTAAGGTGGGAACCATAGTAGTTCAGACCTTTTTTTTTTTTCCATGGTCCTGGGGTTTGAACTCAGGGCCTTGAGCTTGCTAGGCAGACGCTCTACCACTTGAGCCATCCCACCAGCCCCATAGTTCAGACCTTGTATGGCTTTTGAGAGAACTAAATACAAGAGCGAGACACGCAATGTAACTGTGACCACTGCAGAGTTGCTTGTGCTTTAGCTCAGGTAGACTCTAAATGTTGTAGTCTGTTTATTAAATTTTAATTCTAAACTAAGTCTTGAAGGACTGGGGTGGTGTTTGCCTAGCATTTGTGAGGCCCTGGGTTTGGTCCCTAGCACTGTAGAACAATAACTCAATGTTGATTGTGAAATAAGTAATATTTGGAATGGCTCTTGTTAGGGGAGCACAGAGCAGTGGGTCTTTGCTGATGTAGGATGGAAGTAAGTTGATACCTTCACAACAGAGTTAGGTAGGTGAGCTAGTTAGAAGGACACAATATCGCCGTGACTGACAACTGAAAAATGAAGTTAAAGCCATATTTGCAACGGAATTGGCAGTGTGTGGAGTAGAAGTTGGAAGTGAGGAAGGAGATCAAAAGCCAAAGGTCAGACAGCACACCTGGCTTAAGGCAGGGCGAAAACTGACTGATCCTCGGTAAACCAACTGTAGGGACATTCTGAATGCCCTGAGACGTCACACTGGACCTCGGATAGGGGCTCTCCACGGAGGCCAGCTTTCCATTTGTCAGCACTGTGTCTTAGCTCTCATTCAGAACTCTCCATACCGTCTTCACTGACACCATGGAGACCTGCATTCCGGTTGAAATACCATGGTGCTGTCAGTGCTTCAGGAACGCTCTTCTGCTGCCCTGTACATGGGAGTTTGTCAAAACCACTTAACAGAAAAATTTGATTCCAGTGTTACTATCTTTGAACTGTGCAAAAATGTTTTAAGATAACTTGGGTAGCTGCCATTTGGCTATGTGAAGCTTAATATTGAAAGGCCTTTTGCCTTCTGAAGCCATGCTGAGAAAATTGTCTTCGTAGATTTTGCTGAAGCATTTTATCCTTGTCATCTTACTTACTGACTGCAGTAAAAGCAGTAAGATTTTGTAATTCTCAGGAGGTATGCTTAAGTATTAGATGTATGAGGACATCCTTTGAATTATTTGCCCAAGCACGTGGTAAAACTTCAGGCCAGGCATGCATGTGTGCTGCATGCACACGTGTGCGTGTATGTGGGGGGGGGGTGCAAAGGCAGATGCCCCTGGAGCTGTGGCATTTGAATGCATACCACTGGCTTTGAACATGAGGCTTGGTTGTGGCTGTGTCAGTGTCTAAGTTGAGTATTTCTGTGTACTTCTTGGTTATGTGTGGGTAGCATGAGTGCCTACTAGCAAGTGAATAGGGAAACTTTTAAAGTACAAAAATCATTCATTTGACAACAGCGGGGAGTTTTGTCTGTCACTTAACCTGAGGAAAACTGATTTTAGAGAAAATGTTCTAGTTATAAAGATGGAAAAAGTTTTGAGTTCCCAGAAAAAGTATTCTGTGAAAACAGGACTATGGTTTAATAGCATTGTTTTTTGGTTTTGTTCTTGTGGGGCTGGGGATGGGACCCAGGATTTTGGCATGCTGGCAAGTGCTCTACGACTGAGCCACGTCCCTTCCCCACTTTGGGCTTTGTTGATTTAAGAATGAAAATCCAAGGACTGGAGGTGTGGCTCAAGTGGAGCACCTGCCTAGCAAGTGTGAGGCTCTGGGTTCAAACCCTGGGACTGTCCCGCACCCCCTCTAAAAAAGGTAAAGAAATAGAAATGCATTCCTACAAGCACTTCCTTGTTGCCAGCCTCTCTGGGGTATTTAAGGACCCAGCAGACTTGTGACCAGCTGGCCTCAGGCCTCATGAGATACTGAGCAAGCTCGAGGTACAGTTGGCACTGAAGTGCTTAGCAGTGAATCCATCCGAGGCTGGACACCAGACCTCTCTTCCTTTGTCAGCTGGGACAGTGCACAGTGCACAGGGCTCCCTGTGCAGTGTTACCGAACCTCACACTCTCAAGTCATGCTGGTTTTAAAATGCCCCTCCCCCTACTCCATGGTACTCAGGTGCGCTCACTCTTCAGGAAGTCCATCATGCGTGCACTGTAGATCACACCAAGGTTCTATGCTTGAGAAAGTGGCCTCCGTCCCTCCATGTTAATCATGCCACGCTACGCCACACCACGCCACATCTGTGGCATCCTTGGGACTTTCTGCACTGCTGTGGTAGTGCTGTGCACGTCACTGGTGTGCTTCCAGGAAGAAAGGCTCCTTAGCCTCTGTGCAGGGGCCTGGGAGGGCAAAGCTGTAGTGTCATGTACTGCTCAATTGCATGCGGAGTTACGCCTGCTATCTTTGTCACATAGAGCGCTCGGTCTCCAGGAGCTCACAAACTTCTCCTCCTGAAAGACAACTTCAGCAGTATGCTTATGACCAACTATAAAGCGTGCGCCGTTATTGACAAATTCTATGACCTTTCTTTTATGCCGGGTGTGTTCTCCTTAGAGTTCATTGTGTGTCTAAAGTGTCTGATTATGCTGGGGCCCTGAGTAGCCCAACTGCTGCGCTTTAGTCACGTGAGTTTGCATTAGAGCAGGTATCTACAAAGCCAGCCCTGGGGTCTGCTGTTTATCCTTTGGAAGAAGCTGGCATCCCCAGGGAAGGAACACTGGCCATGTGATGTGGAGCAGGATGGCCACTGTCAGCCACTGTCTGCAAAGGGCCTGGCTGGTCTCCCACATCCACAAAGTGAAACTGTGAGCAGCAGCACCTCAGAGCCCAGGAAGGAACTAAATAACAGCAAAAACCTGTTTGGCTGGTGGAGTGGCTGAAGTAGTAAAGAGCCTGCCTAGCAAGCATGCAGCCCTGATCACCCCCAGCACTGCCAAGCACAACCAAGCAAAGCCCTGTTTGCCCTCTTTGCCATGTTCTGAGACCATAGAATTGGGGCTGATGGTCCAAGGGCAAGCCCTGTGTCACCCACATGCTCCAGAACACAGCAGATGGTGTTGGTAGACATGAGCTACAAAGACATGCATGAGCCTTTTAGAAAGCATTGGGTCACCTGGTTACCGTGTTGTAAGCATTGGGCTAGTGGTGAGAAGGGCTGATATTAGAAAACTGAGCAATAAAAGAAGAGTTAAGTGTTGCTAGGGTTTCAGTGTTTCTAGCATTTATTTTTGCACTTGCAGTGGAACAGGGATTATAAGTGGTTATGTTGTTAGAATGTGATCCCATGGTAGTAGTGAACACACCCAAGTAGGTGACCAGGTGACTGAGCTGTCGGTCCACAGACCGCAGACTGGTGTGGTAGCACCTGAAAGAGACCCTTACTCAAAATCCAGTGGAAAATGAGGAAGCTAGTTGTTCATGTCCCTAAGGGCCAGGGGAGAGCTGACCTCAGGTGTCTGCAGTTCTGGGCTCTGCAGTCCCTCTGCATATGATTAGGACCCACCCTCTTAAGAAAACTGAGAGTCTGGTCTGCTGCCTGGGTGCTGGTCACATGCTATGTCTGGCGTAAAAGGTCCAGATTGCTAGACACAGACGGGATGGGTCACCCACCTGACCAGGGTCTCCTGCATCTGCTTTCTGATGCCCACGTGTTCTGTTGCCTTGGATGTGAAGATGCAGTGTTCTGTAAGCTGGTAGTCACCCTGTAAGGAGATGCGGTTCCAGTGGGCCTCGGAGTCAGCCCGTATTTCCTCACTCAGGCATTCTTTCTAGGAGGTAAAAACATATTAAGTGGATGGTGTTGATACCATCAGGGATGTAGAATATTAAAGGGAAAAGAAGACCTGGAGAAGTTGTTTCATAGGTGTATAATAACAGTGGTTGTTGTGACTGTCTCTTCTGCAGACATGAGCTGCTGGAGGAAGCCCGGAGGCAAGGCTTGCCGTTTGCGCAGTGGGATGGACCCACAGTGGTTGTGTGGCTAGAGGTACTCCCCTTTCCTGTGCTGTGTCATGTGACCTTGTGGATGCACCTCCTCACTGTGCACCTGACACCCTGGCTTCCTTGTTCGTCTCCAGCTCTGGGTGGGGATGCCCGCCTGGTACGTGGCCGCCTGCCGAGCAAACGTGAAAAGCGGAGCCATCATGTCAGCCCTGTCTGACACCGAGATCCAGCGGGAGATCGGCATCAGCAACCCCCTGCACAGGCTCAAGCTGCGGCTGGCCATCCAGGAGATCATGTCCCTGACCAGCCCCTCAGCCCCGCCCACGTCGAGGACGGTACGCTCACGAGAACCATGTGTTCCTGGGAGTGGGAGCCGCAGTCCCAGGTCTTCCCAGTTACATCAGGCAGATACAGGGAAAGAGCTCTGGAAAATGTTATGAGCTGGGGATGTAGCTCAGTGGTAGAATGCTTGCCTTCCACCCACAAGGCCCTTCCTTCAATTCCTAGCAACACACACACACACACACACGTAAACTTATGAGAGCTTGGCTAGGGCCAGGTGTGCTGGTGCACGCCTATAATCCCAGACACTCAGGAGGCAGGCCAACCTGGACTGCAGCATACATGGCTAGAAAGTCCTCATTAAAAAAAATACAAGTTTTGAGCTGGGCACCAGTGGCTCGAGTCTCTAATCCTATCTACTTAGGAAGCTGAGATCAGGAGTATGAGGTCCAAGGTCAGCCTAGGTAAATAGTTCAAGACATACCCACTATCTCCAAAATAACTAGATCAAAATGGGCTAGAGGTGTGGCTCAGGCAGTAGGGCACCTCCTTTTGTGAGCATGAAGCCCTGAGTTCAAACCCCAATCCCACTTTCAAAAAAAGGGGGGCGGGTAAAAAAGCTAGAAGCTGATTATCAGAAATTCAGAATTCAAATGTGGAAGTATCAAAGTTGAGTCAATCTAAAGGCTTCTTTTATTTACTTTTTGGTAGTACTGGACCTTGAACTCAAGGCCTAATGCTTGCTAGGCAGCCGCTCTACCACTTGAGCCATGCCTCCAGATCAGTCTAAAGGCTTCTTGAGGCTGCAAAATATTTTATGTACATAGTTAAACTTCGTGAATTTCATTCCTATTTCACAATTAAGTGAATAGTTAGCATTTGTACTGCATGTAGATAATCCTAAACAAATTATATAGTGTAAGTGCTTTTCAATTTTTAGCAAACTATAAATACAGGAGCCCCAGGGCCGCTCCTTCCCCAGGTGGGCACCTAACCCCTGCAGCCATGGGCTGGTCTGTTAGCAGTTTCATAGAAATCAAACTGCGACCCACTTTGTAAGTATCACGGCAGCTCCCTCAATACTGAGAGTCAGAACTCAACACAGGTTTGTTTTAAAAAGAATTAAAAGTAAGTGGGGTTGTGCTATGCTTATTCATCAGCATTCTGTGTGGACTTGTGAAGTGTGAGCAGGAGTTGCAGAGCAAGATGTTTTGTCTCCTGCAGAGTTCTAACTCTTCCAGACCTGGTTGACACCCATTGTGTGCAGCTGATGTCACAGCAAAAGCTGCTTGCTGCTCCCCAGAGAGTTTAATGAACTTCCCCTTCCTATGGGCAGGAGTTTTTCATACAGAACTAAAGCAGAGAGCTGGGTATGGTGGAGCATGTCTATAATCTCAGCCCTCCAGAGGCTAAGTCTTGAGTATGGAGAACTTGAGGCTAGCTTGGGCTACATAGTATGTTCCAGATCACCCTGTCTTAAAAAAAGGAAAAAAAAAAACCTTAAATGGGATAAGAGATGAGCTTGCTGGCTGTAACATGACCATTGGTGCTGTCTGTGACTTGTTTGAAGAGCTGTGGACCCCATGGGGGTTCAAGAGTTCACTGGTGTCCACCAAATGTTATTTGTGTTCGTAGGATTTTCTCCGTGTAGGAAGTCCTTGTGCATCCTTGAAGAGCTTCTCCTGGTCCAAACGGCTAAAGGCTGTTCTGGTGGAAGCAGGGATCCTTGTCAGGGATGAGGGCAGGCCAGCTCCTACTCCACTTTACCTACTCTGGAGAGAAAAGCTGTGACCAAGAGCCTCGTAGACACACATCTCTGAGTAGCAGGCCAGGGCCTGACCCAGGGCACACAAGACTTTACAAAAAAATGTGTTGAGGTTTTTCTGTTTGTTCCTTCTTTTGGGATTTTTCTTAATGAATGAGTTACAGAGATGAATAGTGAGCCTTAGTTCTTACCTGTGGCTCAGACAGCCCTTTTTTATAATCTAGAACTGCGCTGCTCCTCAACTGCTTGACATTAGTGTGGCCTTTCTAGGAAGTTTTCATAAAGCATCTTCATAAAGGAGCTTCTTATACATTCAACTTGACAGTGAGTGACAAGAGATGGGCGTCCTGGAAGAAAGGCAGACGCCACATTGCTGGGCACCCACAAGTTGCTTACTGTGCACAAGCAGTTAGTTCCTCGATAGCTCTTATGGTGACCCAGTGCCACTGTTTTTGTCATATCCACATTGCTTGTCACTCCTGTGACTCAGCTGTGCCCTCTGCCTTATAGGCTACCTCTGGCCCTTGTCCTCCAGAGAGGGACGTTGATATCAACCCCTGCTGAGCAGCCTCACAGGGTCAAAGCTGGAACTTCCTGCTGTGTTCTATATTGTTAATCTGTTGGGGTGAGGCTGATTTTGGGGGCTTGGGGTGGTTTTTTTGTTTGCTTTTTTGTTTTTTGTTTTTGCAGCACTAAGGATCAAATCCAGGGCCTAGCCGAGTGCCTGTGGCTGTAATCCTAGCTACTCAGGAGGCAGAGATCAGGAGGATAACAGTTTGAAGCCAGCCCAGGCAAATAGTTTGAGAGACCCTATTTCGAAAATACCCAACACAAAAAAGGGCTGGTAGAGTGGCTGAAGGGGTAGAGCACCTGCTGAAAACCTAGGGCCTCCTTCGTGCAAGGCAAGTGCTCTGTCACTGAGCTACACCTCCAGCCTAGTGAGACTTCTGAATATATTGAATCAGAAGCTACTGGAGAACGATTCAGAATTTGGAAGTATAAAATGTTTTCCTGTCTTCATACAAAAAATACTGCAGGGTAAGCATGGCGTTGTTAGTGGGGCGTGGCTATTGGTAAAAAGCAGTGGGTTTGTGTTAATGTTCTGTCCTTTCCTGTGAAGAGTGGCCTTTGCCTCAGGGCTCCTTCTCTATGCCTGTGGCTTATGTGTGTGCCCCTCTCCTCTTTGTCATGCTTTCCTGGCCCTGGATGTGGCTGGTGCACTGGGGTCACCTTAGACCACAGGAAATGTCTGGTTAACACACGAAGAGATGGAAACGCTTGCAGCCACACCACAAACGGTTAGTCGAGCCCACAGCTCACGCCCCACTGTGCCTTTGTGTCAAACCATCAGGGTCCTTTGCTTATTGTTGAGAACAAAAATGTACTTTTACATTCAGTTGTTTCAGATAAGTATCCCCTCTAGGTTATTAGCTAAACATGTAAAGTAGAGTTTGTATTTTGTCTTAGGTTTTTTTCTGGCACTTAAAGTTGGGAGGCTCGCTCATGTAGAATAGATTTAATCTCTCTGCTTCTGAGGAGACCTCAGCGTGGCACTCTGTTGTGGTTCCCACCCCGCTTTCTCTTGCCCGGCATGGAGTGCCTGCAGTGCATGAGGGGTGGGGCACTGCTTTTGCACGCACGAGTCTCGCATGCTGCTGACACTTGGCCCTCTCCCCTCGGTCACGCTGCACCGTCTGCAGAGCTCACCAGCACTAATAGTTCTGTTCTCTTCATCCCTAACCACGTAACGTCAGGACGATGAGGAGGGAAGCTGGGCTCAGGTGGGAGTCTTTCAATGTTATCTTCTTCACTCTGTGTAGCAGACAGAACGTGTGATTTGCTGTCCTGGAGGTTTTTAGTATCCTAACCGACTCAGTGCTATTATGCAAAGCACAGGGTTAAAGAGTTCGTCTCATGGACAACTTTGAATGCTCCTCCTATGGAGTCACGGGAGTTGCTTTTAATTAATGTGGATCACTTGTTCAACACAGGACTTCTTACACAAAGTTACCTAGTTTAGGCAGCTCCTGAGATTAAGTACATGTAACGTACTAAGATCTACTGGTAGAAAAATTGGGAGGTAAATTTCCAAATCCAGACGCTGGCATAGTGCCTTTTCCTTTATGTCTTGGTGTCAGTGTTGTACTCAGTACTACCCTAATATCAAGTTGATTTGAAGATGTTACTAATTTCTCAGAAATTAAGCCTCTTCTTGCTTCATGTGTGTCTTGAGTTTTCAGCTCCCAGTTTTGCAGCTCAGAAGGAGCTCTGTCCCAGCTCTTTTGCACCCTCTACATTCAGGCAGCTCACTTAAGTGACTGCAGGGCTTGGTGCCCAGTGCAGCTCCAGACATTGACCTACAGTTCTGGACATTCACAATGGACAGGATACAGGACCCTAGAAGAGTCAGTGTACACTTGGAGAATGTGCAAATAATTTTAGTGTGAATTTCCCTGATTACAAGATGATGATTGAAACAGCTGTTCCCTCCTATTTGTACTTCTTCAGGGTAGTCACTTTTAAAATCACTTTTTTTGAAGAATCAGAGAATAGCTATGAACTTTGGGTTTTCCCACTCTTGGTTTAGGTGTTCTGTGCTCTCCACCAGATGAACCACCCCGTTAAGTACTTACCCTAGGTAGATGCCTCCCTGCAGGACCTGCAACAACCATCAGTGAGTTTGAACAGGGAGCAGTTCCTAATTACTTAAGCTTTAGCAAATTTTACAGGACAGGCAAGACATTGTCAGCACGTCATAGACAGGAAGTATAAACTAAATAAGCTTAATACTTGTTCTTTTTAATGGAAATAGGGATATGAGGGGGCCAAACCCAAATACTGAGGGGACAAAAAAAAGGAGGCCATGCAGATGCCAGAATTACCCTTGTGCAGTGCCCAGTGGAAGCCTGTGTGGCTCGCACCATCTCTCTTCCAGATGGAGCTGCCTCTGCCTGGGCAGAGGCTGCAGCCTGCTTTCCCAAGGAAGGTATCAGCTGCCCCTGGACACTCAGGAGAGAACATTTATCCTTTCACTTAACAAGTAAAAAGTGCTGACTCTGTGCGCACTGCCACCTGCCAGGAGCCACCAGTGAACAGGGGAGGCACAATCCCCTCTCCTTCATGGAGCCACATCTGAGGCAAAGCTGGGTTGTGTTTGCAGCATCTTGATGGAGGTAAATGGTGTGGTGTCTCCTCTGCCTCAGTGCGCTGCAGCGTGGGAGACTGCCCTAACGGCCTAGGATAGGAAGGTCTCCTGGGGCTGTGGCGGTACCAGCCCGAGAAATGTGATTGTCCATAGTGAGCGAGCCAGCAGAACCAGGAGGCTGTTTCCACGCCATTCTTCACGTAGACTGTCTTTGCCTCAGCCCATTGAGGATGCATCAGACACGCAGGCTCTGAGTCCCAGGCCCCTGAGAGTGAGCCACTGCCCGAGTGCATTTGTCACTCATGGTGGTTTAGAGAAAGAAAGACAACTTTATATTTGAATTTGTACATGCTTATTAGAGTTTCATTCTTCCCAGCTTGACTGGAGCAAATAAGAAATTAGACCGTTGGCAGTCGTTTCAAGGCAGAGCAAGGGGGGCGTTGTGAGTTTTGTTCCCAGGACCCCTCAGTGTATCTTCAGGATTCCTGCGAGTGTGACTTAGACCTCCTTGGCTGAGAGCTTGAGGGCTTTTCTCGGATATGCCTGAGTGCACAGACCTTGCACATAGCTGTTCGGTTATAAAGTATATTTTTAAAACCTCAGTTCTAGCTCACCTCTAGTACTTACAAATCAAGTTCATTTTTATGTATTGCCTTGATTCCTGCAACTTGTCTAGCCTCACACTTTAGTCCTGACAGCTGTTTCATAGATGCTTTTCTACATTGAGAACTGTGCCATCTGCAGATGAGGGAGCTCAGATCTCTGTATGGCTGTTTCTTGCCCTATTTCAGTGGTTAGGACTTGCAATACAGTGTTGACTGCAGGGCTGGAGTGGGCACTGCTGCTTGGTTTCTCCTCTCAGGAAGCACTCAGCCTGCTCACCACCAGCCCTGCTCACCACCAGCCCTGCTCCACCACCATGTGTTCGCCCTGGCTGGGTAGGGTGTGCGTCATGCCAAGGCAGTTGTCCTCATCCCTAGAGCCCAGAATGCTCCACAGAGGGACAGTGAGTCTTGCCGTGTGTTCTTCAGATAGTGTGGCTTTTCAGTCCTTCCATAGGGAAAGGTACTGACTTTTCAGGTGTTCAGCCAAGCTGTGTTGCTCCAGTGAGGGGAGTCACTTGTCTTGTCATGATGCCTTCTTACTTTAATGCATTGTTAATTTGGTTTGTTAATATTGTAAGGATTTTTGCATCAGTTATTTACAAGTAGTTAATTTCAGATATTTGGAGGATTCCTGGATATTTTTGTCTACCTGAGACAGGGTCTCTCTGTGTTGCCCAGACTGCTCTTCAGCCTCTTGAGTAGCTGGAACTACAGGCATAGACCACCACATCTGGCTTAGTGATTGCTAATTTTCTTCTGTTGAGGTCAGAGAACACAATTTGTCTCATTTTAGAATCTGAGTATATGGAGAGATGGGTGTGACTTGGTGGTTAGCACACATGCTTAGCATGTGAAGCCCTGGGTTCAGTCCCCGTGCTTGGGAGGCTGAGGCAAGAGGATCACTTAAGGATAGGAATTTGAGGTTTGTAGTGCATTGTGGGAGTCAGAGGTCTGTATGAAGCTGAGCGTCAGTATGGTGGCCTCCCAGTAGTGGTGTCCAGCAGATCTAACTAGGTCAAGTTGGTTGACAGTGTTGCTGCAGTCTTCTTCCTGAGTTTTCCCTTCTGTTCTTTCCTTGGCTTGTTTAGCCAGTTGTTGGGAGAGGACTCTGGGAGTCTTCTGAATATAACTGTGCGTTTGCCTGTTTCTCCATTCAGCCCTGTCAGTCATCTTATCTTTTAAAAACTGTTTTTAAATTGACTTTTACTGATTTTAAAATAAGCAGATACTTCCTCTAGGAAAACAAAGAGCTAAAAATAAAGTCAAAACCAGTTATAGGTCATTTCTAGTGAGCAAAGGTGAGTTGATCCTTCAAGCTTGTCCGTGAGTCGTGACTTTCCCTTGTTTTGCTGCACACTGAGACTATTCCAGAAAGGGATTTATTGCTGGCCACAATCTTGGTGTGTTTTGTTAAACAAGTTGATCACAGATGACTTCTACACTTTTTAATGGTGTGATTCCTTTTGTATGAAATTCTAATAGCAAACAAAAGGCAAGGAAGGGACACACGATTTGGAAACCATAGAGAGCAATGCTGTCGGTAGTTTAGCTTTCATAACCTAGAGACTGTGCAGTAGATTGAGAATCCGTAACTGACATCACCATTTATGACAAGCAGACACTTGCATATGGGGACATGAACCACGAGTGGATCGGCAACGAGTGGTTGCCCAGCCTGGGCCTCCCTCAGTACCGCAGCTACTTCATGGAGTGCCTTGTGGATGCTAGGATGCTGGACCATCTGACCAAGAAAGACCTGCGGGGGCAGCTGAAAATGGTTGACAGTTTCCACAGGTGAGCTAGTGTAGGATTCCTGCTGACTGAGAGACTTTTTTTCATTGTTATTTATATGACCAGTCTTTCTCTCCCTCAACAGAAACAGTTTCCAGTGTGGTATTATGTGCCTGAGAAGGTTAAATTATGACCGCAAAGAACTGCAAAGAAGAAGAGAAGAAAGCCAGAATGAGCTAAAAGGTGAGTTCCCTATGCTTAGTGGACAAACACACTCCTGTGCCACCGGAGTGACTGTCTGCTCAACAGTGGTGCTGGAGGCCCCGGGCCCCATCCCCAGCCCCAAGAAAAAAGTCAGGGAAGGCAGTGGAGACAACTGCCTGGTGTGGTGATAGGAGGGAGAGGGAGGGAAGAAAAGAATACTTTTGAGAGAGCTTGTGCATACCTCAGCCTGTGGGGCTGGCGTGTTTCATGTGACTTGCGTATGGCACATGAGTTCTCACTCAGAAAGGCTCTACCACCCTTTAGAGCACAACAGCGCAAAGGTGAGCAGGCCCCTGCTGCTTGCTCACTGACTGAAGTGTGAAGAGAGGTTCCAGGCTTTCATCTGAGAAGACCATGCGGCTCTGTCCTCAGAGGGAGGAACAGAAGCCCAGAGGCAGAGGCTGTGGCCTGAAAGGAAGGAGGTAGGAAGGTGCCAGAGGAGCCGCTGCTCATGGGGCCTGTTTCTCTTGCAGTGCCTCCCATCCAGAGCCCTCCAATTAACAGGGACAGTCATTTTCCTCTAAGTGTGACACTAAACATTATACTTGAGAAAGTCTTGGCAGTCAGGAAGTCACCAATAATGCTAGCAGTGATGGGAAGAAGTGAGCCTAGCAAACAGTAAGTGGTTCCAGACACTCCACAGGTCTGTCTGTCATCCTCACCAGGGCCCATGAGCACCTGTTTTTACTATATAAAAATATGTTTGAGAGCATTGGGGTTCATTGTAGTTTGGTGTTAGAACACTTACCTAGCATGCACAACACCCAGGATTGAACCCTTGCTCCACCAGGAAAAGCAAACAGCCGAGAAACCGGTTGTACATTTGAAGAGTAGTTTGCTTCTGAAGAGTTACTGTGGCTGGTACCAGTTGCTCACGTCCATAATCCTAGCTGCCCGGGAGGCAGAGATCAGGAAGATCACTGTTCAAAGCCAGCCCAGGCACATAGTTCAAGAGACCCTATCTCAAGAAAACTCATCACAAAAATGTGCTGGTGAAGTGGTTCAAGGTGTAGGTCCTGAGTTCAAACCCCAGTCTGCAAAAAAAGAGTTACTTTGAATCCTGCCACTTACACAGTATATGTTTCTGGCCTTTTGCCCAGACAAGGGCACTGGGAGCAAAACATCATCCACTCCCATTTGTCATCTCTGTCCCTTGAACATCTTTTAATAATTGACAGAAGCTGTCTGGAGGTGATGGGTAACTGGCTGAATGTATTTTTACTGTAGCTCTTTTTAGATCTTGGCTAGAGGAAGTTTAATAGTTTAATTTTCGTAAGATAAGAGCTTCAAAGCTCAATATGCTAGGGAACCTTTAAGTTTCTCTTTAAAATGGGAGAGTGGCTTTTTGAGATCCCTCCCATACAGGGGACTTTTTTTTTCTTTTACTCTGCATAATAAGCATCTGTTCTTTTGCTCAATCCATGAATGAATGCACATTGGGAGAGGTGGGCATGGTGGCTGAGCCTGTAATCCCAAACGCTCAGGAACTTCAGGCAGGAGGGTTACGCGTTCAAGGCTATCCTGGGCTGCATACCAAGATTCTGGCTGAAAGGAAAAGGAGAAATGTTTACGGTATTTAAATGAAGACCGCGCATGCAGCGTGCGTGCCTGGTGCCAGGCGTCCTAGTCCATGGAAGTACAGTGTGCACAAGCTTCGTTCCCCGCATTTCCTGGAGGAAGGGTTCTGGGGGGAGATTTCACTGGAACAGAGCAGGGCCAGAACACCAGTGCTGCAAACTGGTGTGCTTGACTTTGTCTGCAGCACCTGCGGGATCACATCTGGGTCAGAAACCAAAGGCTTGGGATCCGAGGGGAGCTTTTCTCCTGTGCGACAAGGGGTGTGGTGAGGAGGGCTTCTGAAGCCCTGTTTACAGCTGCTGTCCTTCACAGATGTACTTGTTTGGAGCAACGACCGAGTGATCCGCTGGACCCTCTCAATTGGCCTCAAAGAGTATGCAAACAACCTCACAGAGAGCGGCGTCCATGGCGCACTCCTGGCGTTAGACGAAACCTTCGACTTCAGTGCACTGGCCCTGTTGCTACAGATCCCAACACAGAACACACAGGTGAGCTCAGGGCTATCCACGTCGAGGGCACAGTGAGCACTGGGCCTCATTGCAGACACTTAGTTATTGATCTCGGGGGCGGGGGGCTTCAGACAACTAGTAATCATTCCTTAACTAATCGTAACACAATGGTTCAAAATCACAGATGCTTCATTTTTCCTTATTTTTGTCCAACTTTCTGTTGCAAGCATGAGATTCTTGCAATAAACAAAATGAGGGGGATCTTTCTTCTAGCCCATATGCTTTTAAAAACTGGTATCTTTTTAGTTCCTGTGTGAAAGAGAAGCATGTTTAGGTGTGCCACATGGAGGTCTTAACTAAATTTACTTCTATGGTAATTGCCTTTTTTATGACTCATGAACACATTTGAAAATCACAGAAATTTCATTCCTCTACAGAACATTGAACATTTCTTGGGAATATCCTTAGCTGTCCTACCTAGTTGCCGCTTATCATTTCCAAGAGACCTTGGATCCCTCTCCCCAAGGTGCATCCACAGATTATTAAAAGCCCTAATTTAAATGTTAGCTCAGTGCATTCCTAGCAGTGAGTGCATTTTTAAGGTCTTGGTTTAAAACATAATTGTAATATACCAACATTCTACAAATTAGATCTATGAAAGTTTTGGTGGTGATTTTATTTTAGGCTCGAGCTGTCTTGGAAAGAGAGTTCAACAACCTTTTGGTCATGGGGACTGACAGAAGGTTTGATGAGGTGAGTTTTCAGCTAATGATTTGGGGTTTTGTTTGTTTGTAAGGTGCTGGGATTAACCCAGGGTCTCATGCATGCTAAGCAAATGCTCTACCACTGAGCTACACTCGGAGCCCCTAATATTTTGACAATTTGTGTTAAGCATAAGCTATTTTGTCATACTTAGGACTATGTGGAGATAATATTACTTTATGAGATGAGTTTTGCTCTTAAAAATTGATTAGCAAGCTGGGAGCTGATGGCTCACACCTGTAATCCCTGCTACTCGGGAGGCAGAGATCAGGAGGATCATGGTTCGAAGCCAGCCCAGGATAGTAGTCCAAAAGACCCTATCTCAAAAAACCCATTACACAAAAAAGTGTGCTGGTGGAGTGACTCAAGCAAGTAAGGGTGCCTGCCTAGCAAGTGTGAGACCTTGAGTTCAAACCTCAGTTCCACCAAAAAAAAAAAAAGACACATTCTTCATTGGGCTCAAGAAAACTTGTGTTTCACAAAGAGAATAGAAGCCACCTGTCTAAAGATACAGCACCCATTCGCTGTGATCTGACATAAGGCAGGATTGACGAAAGCTTGGGAATGATTGTTAAGTCTGGGAATGCTGCACAAGACCGAGCTAAGAGCAGAAGGACCAGGGGCGTGGCTCTGAGTTCAATGCCCAGTGCTGGGAGGGAGGGAGACAGAGTGAAAATGAGTTATAGAGCAGCAGGAAAGTGATTTCTGCAAGGCAAGCAGTGCAATGTGACTGGGAGAAGAAACCCACCCCAAGGTAGCCCAGTACCATCCTCACTTCTCCAGCTGGGCCCTTCGGAAGTGCCACCATGCCTCCTTTCACACTGAAGTTATGATCGAAGGCGTAAAGCATGTGGGCTCATGGGTCCAGCAGGTGTTCAGAAGCACAGCCAGCCTCGAAGGTGCATCTGTCCTTTACTTTTAAATGAAGCTTGCTTTCCCCTTTAATTTGCCAGGATGATGATAAAAGCTTTAGGAGAGCACCGTCATGGAGGAAAAAGTTTAGACCAAAGGACATTCGGGGCCTAGCAGCCGGATCCGCAGAGACGCTCCCCGCCAACTTCCGGGTCACTTCCTCCATGTCCTCACCCTCTATGCAACCAAAGAAGATGCAGATGGACGGTATGTGGTAGGCCCTCTAATTGCCATGGAATGTGCTCCAAGACATTTGCTGCAGTGCATGCCCTGATATAAATGTTTTAAAGTTAACCCTAACATTTGTTTATTAAAGATTAACAATAGAATTTTTTAAAAATTCTTGTCTCGTTGAATCACTAATAAAGCTTAGCACCCATATGTTCCCAGGGCTGAAGCTGACTGTAATTGTAAGAACAGGACTCTGACAGGCAGCCCTGGCAAGCTCGCTCAGAGTTGCAGTGTAGCATCTCTCAAACTACCTCATTTACTCCTGGGGCTTCTCCACAGAAGCCGAGTAAATTGTAGCTAGCACAGTTCCCACCTTCTTTGAGCTGTGCCCTTCCTTTCTTCCTCCTCTTTGGGCAGGGAGTCGAGGCACTGGGCTTTCTTGATAACTGCTTGACTGGAAACACAGCTGGCTGAGAGTGGACATGGACTCTGCCCCAGCAGGCCTCTCACCTCTGACCTTGCGCTGCACAGCCAGGAGCAGCTCTGCTGCTAGGAGGTGCATGACCTTGAGCAGGCCATTTAGCTGTGCCGTGCCTCAGTCTCCCCATCTGTAACACTGACATCACAACACTATTGTTCTCCTGGATGGTTTGGACAGTTAAACAAGTCCTCTGTGTCAGTGCTGGTGTGTGGCCATTGGCAGTCCCCTGTCACACACACCCCTCCCTCCCTCTCCTCTTGATGCAGATGGCCAGGAGGGGGAGTGGGGGTGTGCTGTAGGATAGTGAGTGGGTTTAAAAATTGTATACATGGGTTTATGTGATTTTCTGTTAGCTCCTCCCATAAGTATGTTTTGCTCTTGCTGGCCATAAAAGTACATTTATATAAAGTTTTATTAAGCTGAGCACTTTTGGTGAGGATGGCTTGCCAGGGTAACCTGTTGGGTAAAAGCTTCGTTTTCTTTTGCTACAGTTTAATAGTACACTGAAGGGGAATCCAGACCCAGGACCTCTCTAACTATTGACTTTCAGGAGTTAGCACGAAGATAACTCTCAGATGTTAGCTGGTGGGTCCTCCTGTGCTAGTGTTGATGACCATGTAAGAACAGAGTTGAGGTAGACTGCAGGGTGGACAGGATACACTATGCAGAAGACCTTGACTCTCACGCCTCATGGAGGCCTGTGTAAGTAAGGGAGGAAGGTGAGTTCCAGCCGGTGTCCTCACTCTGTACCAGCTGCCTCACATCCTTTCTAGAACCATGACAGGGTTTCTGAAAGTGCTCTGGTGCACCGATAGAGAGCAGAGCTTCCCTCTGGTGCAGCAACATCTCTACTGATGTCTGAGGGCAACCGCCCCAGTCAGAGGAGCTGGGCTTCACCTGTCAGGCCACATTGGCGTTTCTTAAACAAGAGCCAAAATCTCAGGTGGTGACCAAGACTAGTTCATTTGGTTTCCCAAGATAAGTCACTGTCTGGCCCTCTGCTATGGCTGGCCTGCCCTTTCCCTCTGCCTTGTCCCCTAAGAGCAGTGGGTGCCGGCCACAGGTTTCCCTCCTGCATCCAGGTCATTAAGGACTCCAACCCTCTCCTGCTGCCCTTCACCAGAGCTGGGGAGCATCCCTCATGGCCAAAAGCTTGTTCTCATACCATTCTTTGAGGTCCCCTACTAGCAGGGCAAGCCCTGGTGATCTCTAAAGGTAGAGTTCAAAGCAGTCACTTTAGGTCATTGTCCTTTGTCTCATGTCCATGCTGAAGTCAGTCTTCTATGGCACTCCATGACTGTTTCAGAGTTAGCTGCCGGTGTCGGGGCTCCTGGAGGGGGAGAACCACCTTTGGGTGCCCCAGCCTCCCTCAGCAGACTCAGTACGTGCCATTGTGGGTATAAAAATGTGTGTCTTGTGCCCTGTGTGACGTCATAAGACTAACTGCACGCTGTGTTTGCACGCTTCCTCTTGTGATGGAGACAGGCAGTGTATCAGGAACGCAGAGGTTGGATTCTGCTACAGTCAGGACTTACTCCTGCTAGAGCCTCCTGTTGGTGAGTAGAGAGCAGCGGAACCCTGGAGACTGTCCCAAGTGCAGCAGTGGTGCGCAAGGAGCTGGAGTGCTGAGAGGGGTGGTTGGCTTTAAAACTGCAGACCAGAACTCGCCAGCTCTCAGCACCCAGGGAGGAGCTTTTGCTGTCACCACTGAACAGAAAGAGCTTACTGTGGCCTTGTGTTTTAAGGGGAAATGTATTTCCACTTTTTCCTTAACCCTGAAAACATTGGCTTACTCTGTGTCTGTGGGTGTCGGGAAGGGGTAGGCCGAGCGCAGCAGGGAGAAAGGAGCGTGCTCACTCAGCCCACAGCTCCCTGCCACGGGGACAGTCTCCACCTGAATGGGTTAGTCCACACTGGTGCAGCTCCTAAGCAGCATTGTTACACAGACACACTCTCAAGTGGAGCAAGCCCCACGTTTTAGTGGAATTTGCGTATTGTTAGGTTCAGGAGGCCGTCTGATCACACAACACCATAGCCTTCAGGTCAGAGGGCTTTTTTAAACACAAAGCTGCATTGCTGTGCCAGCACTTTAGTGCCTGGTGACTCACCTGGGTCCAGACTCCAAGTAGTCTTTTTATTTAATTGGTGCAGCCAGTTGGGGAGCACTCTCGTGGATGTGGACAGCTTCAGTGTCCGCCTAGTGATCGAAGAGAGCTGGCGCTGGGTTGGAGGCAGTGGCTGCAGGTGACCTGCGCTAAGTGGTTCTCTGTCTGCTCTTCTTTTCCAGTTTACCCTCACTACTTCTACAGATGACTACACAGCATTCTGAATCCAGCAGAGACCACATTCTAGATCCAATGGAGTCTTCGATCCGTTAATTCTTGTTATATGGACACTAAGATATTTTATTACAGAGTTTTTAAATTAGTGAAAAATCCATGAACACCATAGAGAAAGTATTTTAGAATTTAATGTTCTTCTATTTATGTAAGCTTACGGCTTCATTTATATAGTTACCTACTTTTTCATGTATATCCAGGCTATAAATATCCTTTTGAATCAACTCATGTTCTTATACCTAATTTTAGTCCTTGAAATGAATGTACTGTAATGCTTGTATGTATAAAATCCTATGAACGAATTAGGGCTTTTGTAAATTATGCATTTATTGTAATTATCACTGTTTAATTTTGTAATGAAAAAACCATGACAGAGGAAAGGATTTACTACATTTATAAAATCATCGTGACCCAGCAATGTGCATTACCCTCTACCCAGCTGTACAACAATCATTTTGAAACAAGCCGACTTAATTTCAAGCAATTGTTGATGTGTTTTAAATGACTGACCTTAACTACACTTTTTCTAGCAAGAAATCTCCGCTTCTGACAGGATGGGCGAGTGGCTGTCAGAACATGGGGACCACCCCTTAGCACTGGCTTGCCTTCCCTAGCTCAGCCTCTGGATTTGGGTCACTTGCTTCAGAGACTGACCAGAAGCCATGAGCTGGGAGCTGCACTCTCAGCAGTGTTGGGGTGACCCTGCCTGTCTGGGAACCCCAACCCTGGGCGGGGGGCGCAGTTGGAAAGCCTCCCTCCCCCGCCACTCCTGGAGGACCAATCACAGGCAGGAGACCCTGGAGTGACATAACTCTGATAAAGGCCTTATTTTTCTTACGTAAATCATCCTTTTGCATAGTTTGTAAACACATTGGAAGAATGAACCTAGCCATAGATGTTTAGATTTTGATGGGGGAGCCATTTTGGATTATATGAGTAGCAAATGTAACCTTTACTTTTGGCTGGCAGGAAAGGAGCGATGGAGGCGCGTCGTTTATCCTGCCTGCTGTGTGGCTGGAGGCAGCATGTCTTCATATGTGCATCTGCTTTTAGTTCCCTTGTACAACTCACCGTCCCGTTTGTTCTCTACTGATCTTTTGTGAGCTTCCTGACTCTGTAACAAAGTTTGTACAGTCTACTTTTCAACTATTTTTATCACAGTATTATTTATTGCTTTCTTTCAATAAAGTACTGAAGCATTTCCACTGCTGGTCAAGAGTGCTGAGCACAGGCTGGGATGGTACCGGAAATTGGCCGCAGCCTTCCTTCTGCTCACCCCGAGCCCCGAAATCGTTGTCACCGTCTGGAAGTTACCAGTGTGGTGGGGCCCAGATGTGGAAGTATGGTTTCCACCTGAGCAGACCCTGACCCAGGGCTTAAGCCAGCAGCCCAGGCCTGTGTTGTGCGGCCCCTAGGTGTTGGCTCTGTGTCCTTCCAGCTTTGTGGCCACTGGGCACCAGGATGACTCAAACCCAGGCCTGAGTCACAAGTCAGCCCACAGTGGCAGAGGAAGGGGACAAGCTGAGTGGTTCCAGGGACTGAGGCAGGGTTTGAGTGGAGGCCTGGGAAGAAAGGCTGACAGAAGTGAGTGGCTGGATGGGCGCTCTGGGAGGTCACTCACCATGGCCATACCAGGAAGCCCCAGAACAAGAGCGAGCCATTTCTCACGCCTGCACAGAGATGGTGTTGCCATGGAGTCTGGGGATGACCCCAGCAGCCACAAGCACCTTCAGCAGTGTGTGGAGGGCCCCTGCTGATGCTTGCCTGCATTTTCCTTTCCCCTGTCATGTGCCCCTTTGAGACCGATGGTCGCAAGTGACATTTTCATGTTCTGTATTAAGTCGCCCTGCTCCTCCCTCGGCAGGTCTTGGAGTGAGATGCTGAGCAGAGCAGCACCTCCTAGCCTCCTCCCCAGAGCCTGTGTCATTGTGGCTGAACAAAGCCCAGGCCCTCCCGCATCTCATCCTGGTCTTTGCCTCATGAACTGCAGGTGTTTCATCAAAAGTGTTTTTCTGCCTAAAAGTGAGTTGAGAAATCCCTGATGAAAGCCATGGAGACATTGCTGCTGTGTTGTCCAGAGAACAATCAACCGAATTGCTGCTCAGCTCTCGTTCCCTGGACGCCACCAGGGCTGACATGTGGCAGGGGCAGAGCCAGCAACTAGTTCCCAGTCCAGTTGTGGCTGGGCCACCATCTTAACTCTTCCCACCATTTCAAAGCCTTTTGAGCCATGTGTGGTGGTGCATACCTATAATCCCAGCACTCTGAAGGTAGAGGCAGGAACTGTGAGCTCGAGGCCAGTCTAGGCTACCATAGCAAGACCCTCTCTCAAAAATAAAATAAAAGGCCTGGGGAGTGTAGCTGAGTAGTAGAGTGCTTTTCTAGCATGCACAATTCCCTGGGTTCCATCCCTGTCATGTTTTTTTTTTTGGTTTTTTTAAATTGAGGCAGGTCAATCTTGAGTTCCAGGCCAGTGTAGGGCACATAGCAGAAACCTGACCTCAAAACACCCACTAATCAATTAAAATTCCTTTTGAGGTGGCTGAGATGTGATAAAATTGCTGTTGACAGGTTTCTTCGGTCATTTTTCGCATCACCCATTAAGGCAACGGGTTTGGGGTTTTTCTTCACTTTTTGGCCAGCCAGGCCAGCCCATTCCAAGCCTGGGACATGGCTCAGTGGCAGAACGCTTGTCTAGAGAGCATGTGTCCATTCCCTTTTGTGTTGGGGTTTCCAGGCAGGTGGCAGAGCCTGGCCTTCCCTGTGGCCCAGAGTGGGGCGGCTCTCAGTCCTGAGCAGTACAGGTCACCTAGCGCAGTTCTGAATGGCTCACGTGATCTGTGATTCTTCCCTGGCCAATTCCTAACTGGTGAGGATGAGTTAACGAGTGGTTTTGCCTTTTCCTTGACTCAAAATGGTGAACCACTGAGTGCGTTCGTCCCTCACTCAGGACCCGTGGGGCGTGCTGCTTCCAGGACCCCAAAATGCATTAGAATGGCGTAATGGTGGGAGCGGGGCTGAGGGCATAGCTCAGCGGCAGAGTGTTGGCCTGGCGTGCGTTAGCGCCTGGGTTCCATCCCCAGCATCACTGAACAAAATGCTTCCTCCCTGGGGGTGAAAAGGATCGGGTGTGATCCGAGGACTTGCGGCAGAGGCGGGGGATCCTGAGTCCCAGGCGCCTCTGGGCTACTGAGCAAGACCCTGTCTGGAAGAAAGGTGACATGTTGCACACGAGCCTGACATGTCTTTTAGCATAATTGAAACCATCTCTGGGTGACTTACTGTTCCGTGAACAATGAGGAGAAGATGCGTGCTTGTGTGGGACAGACGCAGGGTGTTTTGGACACTTTCAATCTGCAGTTTCTTGAACGCACGCATGCTGACGCCAGCTTGTGGAGGGCCCGACTGCTATGGGAGGGTGACTCTTGGTGCGCCCGGCGTCCACAGCACTGTGACGGAGTGGGTGGAGGAGGGAGAAGAAAAGGCAGGTGAGGCTCCCTCGGGCGCTAGTCTCAGAGCCTCTCGGCCTCCTGTAGCTTCTGGGGATTCCAGCCATTTCTTGGCTTGTGCCATTGTCATCCCAATGTCTGCCAGTCTTGACTGACCTCTGAGTGGCCCTTCTTTTACACCTGTTACTGCCTGCCCATGTAATTCAGGATGATCTTCAGATCCACACTGGGGGCTGGTGGAGTGGCTCAAGCAGTAGAAACAAGCGTGAGGCCCCGCGTTCAAACCCCATACCCCATGCATGTACTCAAAAAAGGCCCATAACTTCTAGGCATGGCGGTGTTCACCTGTCATCTCAGCACTTGGGAGGCTGAGGCAGGAGGACCACAAGTCTCAGGTCAGCCCGAGTCACGTGGCGAGACCCTATTTCAAAACAAAAAAACATAACCTAACATCCGCACAGACTCCTTTCCCAAATAAGGTCATATTTGCAGAGTGGGATTTGGGCGCTGACTGACACCGGGGCCACCATTGAGCCCCACTCTGGCTTTCAGTCTCTGAAGATGGCTCACCCCATTCTGGAGATCACTAGCCTATGACACCCCAGCACCTATGGGAATATCGGCTCCTGATGCCCACAAAGGTGAGCCAAGCAGACAGCGGGGGGGCCACCAGTGGCCTGGCAGTGCAGCCAGGGGTGACCACAGATGTGGGCAGAGAAGAAAGAGGGGACCTCTTCAAATAAAACAGCACTTCGCAGCTAAGGAGTTTGCTGCCAGTCAACCCCCAAACGAGTGTAAAAAGCATCACTGACCTAAAAATGTAGATTTGCCAGGGCCCTGGCTTTGGGCCCCAGTGCTCAAAAACAAAACTTCCAGTAGATATGCTGTGCCCTGCTCTGTTACTTGGTGAGCGCCGGCTGTGTGCCAGGCACACACAGGGGAGATGATAAGATGAAATTATTCTACGTTCCTGGAGAAGGAAAGATTTCACCCTGTGCATCAGGGTGGCGCCCAGGAACTTGAATTGTGCTGTGGCTTGGGAGTAGGGTGAGGTTGGGGCAGGAGCAGCCTCTGGTGAGACCTGTCTACACAGCGCCCATTGCTGGGAATAGGGAATAGACACAGCCTGACTTTTTCACCTGACGCTAGGCAGGCGCTGTGCCTCCTGAGCCACTCCTCCTGCCCCTTTTTGTGATGGGAATTTTTGAGATAGAGTCTTGGGAACTATTTGCCCGGGCCTGAGTTGGAACCACAATCTTCCTCTTCTCTGCTTCCTGAGTAGCTAGGATTGCATGCGTGAGCCACCCACCAGCACCCAGCTTTTTCTTTTTTCTTTTTTATGGAAGTATTTAAGGTTTGAACTCAAGGGTTTGCGCTTGCCGGGCAGGTGCTCTAGCATTTCAGCCCTGTCCCCCAGCCCTGTCTCCTCCGAGCTAATTGATTTCTCAGCCCTCTGAAAGCTCCCCTTCTGCTGCGGGTCCTGAAAACCCACTGAAACCTAGTGGTGAGACTCAAGGCACATCATCTCTGAGCCACTGGGTTGTCAGCTAAGTCATTCCTTCTGCCACTCCTTCCTGGGTCATTTAGGTGGCTGTGGTCACCTGGCAGCTCCTCTGGGGCTGGACGTCCAGCATTGCCTGGTGGCTGGTGCACACTGTGCCAGGCAGGGAGCCACAGTCCTCGTTTCAGAGTCTCATCCTCCAGCAAGACCCCACCATAGCCTCAGTTTCTACCAGCTGAAGGCCTCGACCCTGGAGCTTACATGATGGCCTTTCTGTGACATTCCTTGGACAAAGCACATGAGGAGGCCAGCCCAGGTTCAAGAGCTCAGGGAAACAGACTCATCTCTCCATGGGAGGCAGAGCTGTCACATGGTGTGGGGATCCAGCCTGGCGTGACTTCAGCCATTGTGACTAATGACTGCTTTGTCTGCGAGCAATCATTGAGACATCACCCCAGCTTGTGATAGACCCTGACACCTGGACTCTTTCCTTTTTTGTTTTTTTGTTTGCAGACAGGGTCTTGCCATGCAACCCAGGCTAGTCAGGAACTAGAAGCTATCCTCCTGCCTCTGATGTGTGCCTCTGCACCTGCATAAATTCCTTCTGATCAATTAATTTACTTATCTATTTATTTTGCAATACTAGGGATGGAAGCCAGGACTTTTTGCTCCACCACTGAGCGTCATCTCCAGCCCTGGGCAGTTTTGTAACTGACATTGGACATGTTAGTAGTTTTGGGGAAAGGCCAGGTGCATTATGGTTGACGAGGGCCTGCCTTTGTCTAGGTCAGCATGCAAACCCCACCTCCTGCCTTGGGTGCAGTGACGCACCTCACACCTGTCCTACTGCTGCCCAAGACACGCTTTTGTCTGTAAGTCAATAAATTGTAATTCTGGATCAATCTGCCTTTTTTCTTTTTTTCTTGTTTTTTTGAAGCAGAGTCTCACACCCCAAGTTGGCCTCAAACTCACAGTTCTCCTATCTCAGCCTCCCGAGTGCTGTCATTATAGGCATGAACCATCATGCTTGGTGAGGCTGCTTCTTTCTTGAAAACTTCTGCTTTTGGGAGCCAATTTCACACTCCGGGATGGGTTTTTCAGAAACTCGTAGCAAAGAGGTATGGACACAGGAAACACAGTTCAAAGTGGGTCAGTCTGCTTTGGCCACCATAAGAAAGTACCACAAGTGGTGTAGGGGGTCTTAAAGGACAGACATTTAGCCAGGTGTGGCAGTGCATTTCTGTAATCCCAGCACTCAGGAGGCTGAGGCAGGAGGATAGGGAAATCAAGGCCAGCCTGGGGTACACAGACCAGTTTCAAAATAAAAGTGTTAAAATGAAAAAACACAGAGAGATAGGCAGAAGAGGGC